TCTGGTTGGTTTCACTTTCTGCATACCAGGTGTGTGAAATTATTTCCCTAGGGATTTTGAATAGAGCTTCTTAGTCATTCCAATCTTTCATTTTTAACGAGTATCATGAAACGTCTTACATCTGCATAGCAGGCTGGAATCATTAAGCTCTAATCTAAAGTAAGTACCTGTAGTAAAGCAGTCCTTAAACCTCACACATAAGCAGTGGAACAGGAAAATAAACTGATATTAAACTGAGGGTGACCGCTCAGCTAAAGGCTGAGATACTGCCAGTGTTCTTCTTTATAAACAATGGATGAAATTTCACTCCCAGCTTGCAGACAGAATATGGAATTCGTTTTGATTTGAGTTAATTACTTGCAGCAGATAGTTCTTTACTTCAAGTCTTTCACCTAGATAATACCAGTCTCAACCACCACCTAATGAAGCTCCCCTTCTCTCTTCACCTCACTTCTCGATGTGCTTCGATAATATTCAACCACAAACATTTACAAAGGGTGGGTAGCTGCGTCAGCATGCGTAGGCTGCAAAGGAACAGGTAATAGGTTTATTCCATTCTGAAAAAAAAGAAGAAAGAGAACACAACGTTTCGGCCGTGGAGCCTTCTTCAGGTGTGAGAGAGACAGGTCCTGTCTCTCTCACACCATTTACAAAAGGTACTGAATACCCACAACAGCGGACATCCATGCCTTCTTTTTTTCCTGAGATGTCAAGCAGCAATAGACATTCCATAGTAAATTACCCTGAGGCTCGGTTGCTCAAGGGAATTGCTCACAAACAGGATATGACGGCTAGAGTAATTGCAGACTCTCACATGTATTGGTTCAAAATTGTGTTGATTGCCAAGAGTGCTACAAGACACATAATTGTTTGTTTGGGCATTTAGCTTGCATGGTTGATTTGGAAATGTGGACACAGTAACAACCTTTTTCCAGTGAAAAATAAAGATCCTGGAGTCTCCCTTTAGGAACCTCTCGTGTATGTCCTCTGAAAGCTCTGAATCTGGTTCTAGAGCTGCCCTGCTTCTTATAATTGCACACCAAGGAGCTGTAACAATCTCCAACTGAACTCTTTCTCTCAAGGCATGGACATAAGTGTTTACTTTTCCTTTGCAAGACCTCGCATGACCCTTAGGTCTTCCCTGTCGTTCACCAATAGGAAAAGAGAGCAGCTCTTCCCAGTAATTTCTTGTTCCAGGACAGAGAAATGAATCAGATAGCCCTGGTTGTCTTAATCACTCCTTAACCTCAGTGCTGGGTTGTCACAATCCAGTAGGTATAGTAGGTAACATTATATAATTCGATATTTTAATCACATTTTGAAACATTTCTGAGTATCTTTTAGCCCTCATTGCTAGAAGTATTAATTAATTAACTTACCAAAAGAAGCAGGTGCTTGACCTGTATTGAGGGTACTCAGGTCTGTGGTTAGCCTTCTACTGATTGGACTCATTTTTCATATATGTTAATGTGGAAAAAAATAGAATACATTTATAGTACTGCATAAGTTTCCTTACTTCTTTCATTTTTTTCGGTACAAAACTTAAATCCATAGTACTGGCTGAAGTAGATTATAATATAACAATGTTTTGGATTATTTGCAGCCTAATCCCATCAAATTCTTCTGTATCTTATCACCTTCAGATGTGAGTAATGGCAAATGGAACTGAGCTGCTTGTTTCATGGGTTTCATCAGTTTTCAATGGAATTGACATCTGGGAGTTTCTCGTTTTGCTTTTCTTAAGAAAAGATCTCTTTTCTGAAAGCTATCTGTGTCACTCTGGGGACCATCCAGCTTTGCCTCCAAAATTGGAGGAGAAGACTGCAGCTGCTCTGTCCTCTGCCAGCGGAGAAAGAAAGCAGGTGGATATTATTCATTTCACTCCCACCACATTAACTAGAACAAATTAATTCTTCTATAACTACTTTCATTTGGATGAGTGAGCCGCCAAATGTTCAGCTGTTGAGTTTACAGCACTCCAAAGCTTTGGTGGCCTGGATGTACCTATTTTAAAATATTGTCAATTTGGCTGTTCGCTTGAGGCTTTTTAAGACATGGTTGGAGCCAAGGGCATCAGCTTCATGGCATCCCATAGAGGAAGCTTTCCTTAAGCTAATTAGGCACAAGGATTTTTAATTTTCTGCACCTGATGGCAGGACAGTCTGTGGTGGAATGAGCCTAATTGGAAATTATTTTTGTAATGTGGAAATTGTCGGCTGTTTTCTTGGCAGAATTAATTAATCTCTCTCTGATTTGGAATAATTTCATCACACTGACAGATTCTCAGTCCTATGCCTACCCACCCTGCTCTATAAGAGAAGTTTGTAGGATAGCAGCTTTGATGGCCTGTGCATATTTCAAGATCTAAGGAGTGCTTACTTGCTCCTTGGGATTTTCCTGCTTTTTGTATGTCAGACTCAGCTCAGCCATTGGAATTTACAGAGCATCATCAGACTCTGCTTTGCCCCTCTTGCCCAGTAGCTAATCGAATTATTTTAACAACAGGTTAAAATAACTTTTAGACTCTTCTTTGTATGACTTTTTCTGTATGATTTCTTGTCCAAAATAACTTACTTTTATTTGGGTTAGAGGTTTAGATTACTGTTATGAGCGGTAGTCTGCACTTGCTTGGAGTCTGGGACAATATTATCTCTTCCTCTAAAAACGTAGCATGATATTCTTCCCTTTTTAAACTTGTGAACAGAGTGTACCACCATAGTACTGACTCCAGATGGAGATCACTCTTTTTGTTTAATGACAATTCCCAAATGAATATCAGTCCTCTTTCACTGTTCAATGCTAGACACAAAATCTATCTTACAAGGCTGGGTGCTGGAATATGAAATAAATATGGAAAGTTTACACTTTCCAGATTCATAAACTGTGATAGTATCATCAGATATGTTATCTATTTTTTGTTATCAAACGTTTTCTTTCCTTTGAGTGTTTTTTTTTGCATTTGTATGTCGTTTATTGTATTTTGTTGTTTTGTTTCTTTTAAAAACGTAACAACATGTTTGTAATTTCACCTAATCATTGCTTGTAAGTTTTTTTTTTCTGGTGAAGATACTTCTGAAAATTTTCTTTTAGCCTTAGGCCAGGGATCAAAATGTTTACATTAACTCCACAGTCATACAGGACATGGCAAAAAAGAACGAAAATATATATTTTTTTGGTTTTTCATCAATGCCCAGGCCTCCGAAACAAAGGGTGCATTGTGAAACAAATGCTTTTTCCTGTGAAAGGATTGGGTTTACAGAGCAGGCAGTGAGAGATTGTTATTTAAGCTCAACAAACTTCTTAACATATTGGCTGGGTTCTTCCTTCCCTGCAGTTTCAACACTCATCATTATGATAAGTTACAGAAACTAACTTGACTCTGCTGGTTGACTAAAGCACAGGGTACTTTGGCTTAAGTGGAGTCTTAAGTGGTTAGGGACTTGCTGCCCCCTGCCTGACACAGCTGCATTTAGATTTTGAAAAGCTGTAGTGTTAGTTATTGCCTGAAACACCACACTGCAAAGGTCTTATCTCTTTCATTATGTTTTAAAACTATGTTTGTGATCGTTTCAATTGGCACCAATACTTTCCATATGCTCTGAGGTAATTGTTCCCAGTACAGTAAGATTCCTGTGAATCATAATACGGCAAACACAATGTTTCTTCAATAAATTGTGGTTAGGTGGTATAGCCCGAATAGCAATCTTTTATGTTGACAAATTGAATAAAGATTCATGTTTTGATTGTGGAAATCAAGGATTGTGAAGAATATTTCACTGACTTCTGCTGCTTGATTTCAACATCACTTTACCTTTGTAACAGGTTTTGCTTTCTGTGGGTCATGCAATTCAGGTATAGAGGTTCAGTGATACCATTTGCCTTCATTTTTTAATATAAGACTGTGCCATCGCATTGCAAGAGGAAAAACATCACAGCATGGGTTTTCGCAGAGAAGGAAATGACATACAGTGCTTATTTTGGCTAGTTCCTTTTCAATGCTTGCCTTATTTTTTATTTTGCATTGAGAAATAGATTGGCAGGATATGTATCCAAGTCTGTAAAAGTTCTTATAGACATTGTTTCATGAAAGAATGGGCAAAACTTCAAAGACACATTATTTATTGAAATATGGATTCTATGACTGATTAAATATGACCACAACCAAGCCAAGTCTCCACAAAAGTACTGCTCTTGTACAGAATGACACCACTTAAGAATGATAAGAAAATAGTTAGGCATAGCACTAGTATAGATCCCAAAACAGAACCTCAAGTATATACAGTATTAGGCATTGGAGCTATTTTGGAAGAAAAATCATATTGTGCCTGGGGGCATTTATAAAAGATATACACTATGATGACTCCCAAGAAGCAAAAAGTTCTACATGCAGTTTAGGGCTTATAGTGCAGAGACTGCTGTTTTTAATAAAGCTTATGCTCTGAACTTTCTGTTGCTGGGGTTCCCCAAATTGTGGTGTGTTGGCCGAGCACTGCTGGAACTGGCTATGCTTGTCATCAGGCAGGAAAACGTCAGCTTGCTGAGTGCCAGCAACCCTTTCTTTTGGCTTGCCAGGTGTCTGTGAGCGTGCATTGCTACCAGTGAGATCTACATTACTTCCTCCTCGTCTGCTATCTCTCCATGTGCTCACAGTAGGTTACTAACAGGGTGGGTATACAGAGCAGGTTTTTCAGGCATTTAGTTTAATACCTCTGTCAGTCATTGTAACTGTGTCTGCTGAGAAACGAACCTGATTAATACAGAAAACGATCCTCTTTGGTGGAAACCTTGCATCCTTTCACAACCTTCCTGGTGAAGGGAGAACAGTCCTGTTAGATCACAATGAAAGAAGGATGAATGATGTTATTCCCTGTCGCAGTACATGCTGTATCCAAGCATTTGATTGGTAGGGCAGGGGAAATCTATACAAGAGTTAGACAGAAAAATAGAGAGAGAGGGAACAAAATCAAGCTCCACACTTGCCAGCTTCCACAGTGTGCTGGTGGGGCGTGATGTCATAAGTCCCCTCCCTCACCAGATATAGATTCATGTTGGACCTGCTCTCTCTATCACTCAACAGTCTTGCACAGTGAGAAGAAGTCTAAGTCAATTGTTACCTTTTAGTGAAATCTTCCAGCACCCTCCACAGCCAGCGCAAGAAAATGCTCCCCAGGCTGTTTCTGTTCGTCCTCGGTGGGATTGTACTCCTGAGCTGTGGGACAACACAGAGAATACCGAGAGGCAAGTGGGCACAGCATGGTCATGCCAGCAGGCATATGAGTAATGAAGTAGTGTGATAAGAACTTTTAGACGTCTCTTAAGATTTCAGTTCATTTTGAAAAATCTGTACAGTGCATGAAACATTTCATATTAAAGGTGCACCAGGGGTGTCCTATTGGACTTTTTCTGCTTGATTAATTCTTTCCACTGTGGGTCTGTGAAACAGTATTGTTGTACATCTTCACAGATAAAGAAATATTTTTTTATGGCATTAGAATTTTTCTTTCAGGATGGTATTTTGAGACACAATCATGTATTGCTATGCTGTTATGCTATTATGATGTTCTTTACAGATTGCTTTCAGGTTTTTGTTTTTTGCTTTGTTATAATGGTTTTTGAGGAAACCTGTTTCTTTAGTTTATCTTATATAGTCTACTCATTTTGTTCTCATTTTCAAAAAAGACTTAGAAATACACCTTTTGCGGAAATACCTGCTGGTGAGGGTTGTTCTTGCTTTTTGCTGGATTCTTAGTTGAGGACATTGGTTAAAACGTAAAACCCTGCCTAAATCACATTTTCTTTCTTGAGGGGTTGCAGTGTATCTTAGTCTTATATTGTCTGTTTGTTTAGTGTGGTTCAGATCTTGTCTGAAGCTGTCATTAAAGCTGAATGCATACATAGACTCAGAAGTGGTTTGGAAGAAACAATGGTGAAGTGAAGGCTGACTTCAGAATAGGTTTACTACATATCTGTTATTCCTTCTCTGCACTGACTGGTTTACTAAAAGCTATGCATAACTGTGTAGCACACTGTACAGTATGTGCAAGAAAATATTTTTCAGTAAATTCTACTAAGTTAAAGTTACTTGCCCTCTATGGATGTTTTTTTTTCATTCTAAAAAGATGTAAAGGATGTGGACTGATCCTGAACTTTAACTGATGTTCAAATGTTGTATGGGTGTCTGTACAGCTGTAGACATACGTATTGACACTGAATCTTCACTTTAACTGCTGCATATTCAAATGGATGTTTTCCACTTACTAAACTGGTAGTTAAGCTTGTGTCAGCTGCAGGCAGGAAGGGCTATTCTGATTTTAATTTATAGCAAATGCAAATTTCAAGTCTGAGATGATTAAAATTTTTATTTTAATAAATTAAGAATCTTTGTTTCTTCTTGCTTCCTTTATTTTGGAGACATATGTAACATGAAAAATCCTGTACTGCAAAAAACGAGAAGTTAAGAAGAAATAAGATTGATCAAAAATCTAAATTCTGGCACTTTGCACAGTCTGCAGGGTTTTGTCTGCAGCCTGTTCACCATGCAGACGTTCCTCAATCTTAGAACAGCAGTTCAGCTATCCCCTCACTGTGGGACTGGTGCTACTTTAAAGACTGGCCAAGAAATGCATGTAGCTCTGTTTAAAAGAAACTGATGTCATTCTTATCAAAACACCGTCTCCCTGGAGAAAATTCTGCTTGCAGCATAGAGTACTACCACAAACAATCCGCTCAGCTCCAGCTGAGGCAGTCGGAAATTTAACCCAGTATAGTGCTGAGATGTGCGGATACAATTTGCTCTCATTAGAGGAGCTTGAACACTTCTACTGCCCCGTCTGTATTGACATTAAATCTGCCCGTAACCATAAACAGACGGTTTGAAAATTAGTTGTTTATTGAGAAAATGCTAACAGCTGCAGAGTTTTAGTCGGAGCAATTGAAGATATGGGGGCCAATCTTTAGCCAAACATCTCCCTAGAAAGCTCTCAAAATACTGTAGTAAAGCAAGTATTTAATTAAATAGAATTGCTCTCCTGTCGCTGTCTTCACATTGCTTTATTCTTAACTTATTACTTATTGTGCTTGCTTAGAGCTGATAATTAATACCTGTCATTTTTGACATGTTCATATTACAGTATATAATGCTGTAGTATATACTGTATAGTCAAGCTACAGTACCTTCTGTTCTTTTCCTTGCTGCCGCTGATGGTTCCAGAAGCTTTAACTCAATATCACATCCCTGCTGTTAGAACCAAAAGTAAATTAATACATCATAACAAATCTTCTGTCTTATGTGTGTACTTTCTGATGTACACCTGTTGTCTATTGCACTACAGTGAAATGAAATCAATACCTGTGTTTTTGTTTGTAGCGCATGGGGAGTGGGGTTGTTTGGTTTCATTTTATTATTATACTTAGCACTTATTATTTAATTAATATTATTTACTATTATCATACAATTAGCTGATATTCAACGACTTAATGAAAGCAGTGTAATGTATACACACAAAAAGATGATTTGGAAGAATCAATGTGATCTGGAAATGGACTATAAAGTAAGAGAATTGAGTGATTTCATTTGTAAAGCACTTTACACATAAAAGGTGACCAACTCCATCCACACACCTGAAATCTGCTTCTTCATTATTATTAATTGTTGTTTTGTATTTTGTGTAGCCTATTTACTGATGTACTGAATTTCCATATAATATGCAAACATCACTAATGATTAACTTATATTATAACTATATATTATAGAGTATATGTAAAAACTTCAAAGGTGTGTGAATGTCATTGTGTTGTTATTGTACAGTAAGTCACTTAGGTTTACAGTAGTTACACAGAAACGATGATCATTGCTCTGACGAGGGAGCCTCAACATTTGTCTTTTAAATTATGTCATAGCTTTTAATCTTTCAAAACATTGCAGTAGTGACTAAGATCAGGTCCTTTTACTGCCAAGGACTTGATAGAGCATTTCCTCCTTGTTTTACCTCAAATCCATGTTTTCTGCCAAAAGGCCAGTGCTGACTGGATTGTTGTTTATTGTAGCTTTTCCATGGGAATTCTTTTGACAATGAAAAATGATAGTTCAGCAAGAAAATCCTTGCTCTAGTATTGGAAAGCAGCATTACATGAAGGTAATGAGCCTACTTTCTTTGGTCAAAAAAAGTTTGCTTCAATGAAGCACCATTAGGAACTAATCACACCAAGCATGGCTTCCACTACTGGCCGTATTAGCACTTTACTAGGCAGTAAATAGTTCACTTTCACTACAGCACAAGAGTCTCACGAACATCAAAGGACAAGGTTTTTAGACAAAAGCTCCTTCTTTGGAAACATGTCTCCCCCTTAGAGTGGAGGTTATAAAGAGCATTTCATAGATCCTTTGTAAAATATTCTTCATACTTCAGTTTCATTTTAATTAAAAAAACTATATTTTATGGCATAGGGACTGATGTGGCTCCAAGATTAAAATTAGCTGAGTGACATACTGTCTACCAGGGTTGTTTTGATGCCCAGCTTGAACACATGGATGTAATTATTCACCAGCTCCTGCAGATGGAATAGTGCCATTAAATGGCTAACTGAATAGTTCTGGCATTGTAAAAATTGTAAATTTGATTGGAGTTTGAAGAATTATAATGTGACTTTTCAAAAGCAGGGAAAATAAATAGTACATTCTGTATAGTCATATGGCTTTCCGTCCTGTTCTGTCACTGAATATCTTTATATAGAAAGTAAGGGAATCACTGCCTATTGCATGTAAGGGCTGCAAGTAAAAGATTGTTGCCTTGATTGTTGTTTTTTTAACATGCTAGAATCAGAACTGGAAACAAGTCTGTAATATGAATGACTTAAAATAGTAGTAATGGAAGTATAAAAAAATATTCTTATCAATAGAACATCTGATTTTTTTTTTTTGCTGTGCATATTGTGTTAATGAAATACCTGAACAACTCCTTCAAAAAAATTTACCTTTGTTCTTATTTGGATCCTTAGAAATATTTCTGGAAAACCACAGGGGGACAGGCCACCTGTTAATGTGTCTCATGGAGAAGTGTCCGTGGAAAAGTAGAAAGAAATAAAGAACTAATAACTACAATGAACCAGTTTATTATACATTTTTATACTCTGTTCCAAAATCAGTTTTACAATACTATATCATAAGATCACAGTGATTAATTCTGGTGGAAGAGAGTCTTGTCCTGAATGTATTAGGAGGAAAAATAAATAAGGTGGTCTGGAATTTAGATTTTTCACCCAAGAGAATGCTGCAAACATCAGAGATGAGCCTGCTAGATCACTTTCAACTGTAATGTGTTTATAGCAGAGAACAGACTTTATTATCAAGTCCTATACTGTGTCCACATGTTTTTATCCATCACATACTGTGTTTTCTTCCACAGGCAAGTGAAAATATAAAAACATAGTCTTATTCAGTGATGGTGTTGAACCAAGGCATTGAGGAATGTGATCACCTGAAATTAGTCAGCAGTGAGCCTGTTAAAAATATAGACAAAAACCCGTATTCAAGAATTTCGTTGTATTCTCTTCAGATGCATTCTTGAAAAGGGGATTTGAAATACTATATATCTTGACGAGAAATCTGGATAGGTTAAAACATTTTTTACCTCATTGAACTGTCACAAATCAACATGAAACATCTCACAAACAATCCAGCACTGAAGCAATGAGTTCAGTCAAGAACTACAGTACAACATTATTTTGACTTTCTGGAAATTTTCTTTAAGAAAAGGACAAGATTATGTAGATACAGATCTATGCATGAATCTCATGGATTACACATGCAGCATGTAAAGTTAAAAAATAAAAATATATATTGCAAAAGACATCTGGATTTGGAAAAAGAAGCTCAATTTTAGCTTCTTTAAACCTTTTACTGTAGCTCCTTAAGTAACCTTTTGCTTGTTTAACATTTTCCAGGTATTACAGGTAGTGACATGGCAAGTTCAAGATGTCTAACCTGATGTCCCTTTGTTATTTTTCACGCTTTGGAAACTTCTCAGCTGCAGCACAAGATACCCGAGCCAAGTATTAGATCACATGATTCCAAATGTCACACATGTCAAAATTCAAGACACACTCTTTTAAAAAATCAAACAGATGCCAAAAAGAAATACACAAAAAAGCTCCTGGGAAAACACTGTAGAGGAAAGGAATCTTGTCTTTCTTTGAGTGGTTTTTCACAAATATGCCATGAAGCAGGCAAAACAAATCTGTTTTCCCAGCACACTCAAGAAATCAAATATATTTCATAGTTCTTTGAATATTTTTTTTTCAAATATGTATTGAATATGTAAAACATGCGATTGGGGTGCATTTCTTATTCCTATGTATCACTGCTGTGCATGTCACCTTCTTTGTAATAAAGGAAAGCAAAGGTATCATATGCAGATGTTCTAGTGATAAACAGTTCACTGATCATCGATGCCATAAAGCACATTAGACCTCAGAATATGGTAATGGCCATTTTTCAGGGGTATACAGCATGGGCAAGCATAATTTTGTTTTGAACAAATTCCTTACTACATATCCCTTTATTGTGTGAGAAAGCCTTTTGTTGTAGATTTAATATCACAAATCCTTATTTTACAACAGGAATAAAGTATTTTATATGTCTTACACGAGACTTAGCTTAGAATAATGACCTCTATTTCAATAAGGCTTGATCTTAAAACAGAAGCCATAACTGATCACATCCTTTGCTCATAAATCTTGAATGAACTAAGTAGCAGATGTTGCCAGCTATGAAGCAGTGAATTCACTCTTATTGAAGTTGTATTACATGGGGAGCATTCTATAGCTTGTGAATGGCCATTCGAAATGCAAGGATTTTACAATAAGCCATGCTGTTATTTGGTTTCATCTACAGTGAAGCAAATTTTGAACTGTTTTTGTTTAATAACTTTGCACGATAGTCACATTTTTTCAAATTTTGTCATATTGTATTGTATACATTTTTGGTGATGTGTTGTATTGACGAGTGTTTTGAAAGTTTTTACAATCTGTATTGGAATGATGATAATATTACAAGATCCAGTCTTCAACATGGGTTCCAGGTACAGTCAGAAGAGGTTGTTGTTGGATTCAAAATCATCACAACCAGAATACTACTGGAACTATACTTCACAGTATAAATATGAAAAGCAGAAAAAATATAATGCACTTTTTACAAAACAAGGAATTCTTTGTGTACTAGTTTAATCACTTGGGAATATTGCACCACGTGCAGTATAGAGCTGTTAAGTAGTTCTCCGATTAAAAAAATATAAAGAAAAAGATTAAACATGCAATTTGTGCATTACACTCATGATTTAATTTATTTACCCTTTTCACTTTTCAGTTCATACAAACATCCAGTTATCCCACGTGAAAGCTGCTCTGTACTGTAGCTCAGTTTTGCTGCAGTAGTTTTAAAAGGCAAATGAATTCTGAAGGGTACCTGTAGCTTTAATTTTATCACTAACACACATTACAGTATATGTTCTGGTACTGTTCCTGAATATCTCTCTTTGTGTTTCTTTTGGAATTTAGAATCAATTAAGTTTTTCAGGAGCAATGTTTGATGCAGTCTAAAAGATCTCTTTAGATTACTAGAGTACAGTAAGTAGCAAAGTGTAGTATACCCTAAGGTAAGGTGTACTGTGATAGAAATGGGCAATGGCAAAGAAAAGGTACTGTAGCACCATTAAATGTGCCTTTATCTCTATATGCAGCTGATAAGTTAAGACAACTGATAATAAGGAAAGGTTGGGCATCAGTTGGAGAAAATGCCAGATAATTTTGGCTCAGAAGGCTCAATTCCATGTCATTAATTTGTTTGCCTTCATGAAATCCTTGAAGCAAATTCTGCTCTTAATGAACTCCTTGTAAAAACCGCTGTATGTGTACAAACATGTCAAAGCATGGGTCCTAAGGGGTAAGTCCTGCAGTGATCCTGACTGGCCACCTGGTAATTTCTTCTGCTCAGGTTAACTATGCCTTGATCATATGACCTGGACTGTCTGAATGGTGATTTACGAGTTTCAGAATATCACTATTTTGCAGAGGGCATTTTGAAGTAAATTCTGCTTGAAGCTTGATGAAAATGGGCCTCTCGCAATGCATATAATGTAACCTTTCAGTCAAATCCAATCCATATGTTACACACTTCAGGAATAAATTTAGATAATTGTTATTAATCATAGTCGTTCTTGAACTCTCAAAGTATACAAAAAAGGAGTTGAAGACACAAGTTCAAAAGGAGGTCAAGCTCAAATTTCAACTACTTCTACCTGCTTATGTATAAATATCACTTCAGCGGTTTGGTTAGATCCTAATGAATGCAACAGAGAGATTGACTCACCTAGCTGAGGGAATGGCAGCCTATCTGAGGCTGGATAGGCTGCCCAAACCCACTTCCCCCTTTACTATTGCTAGGATTGAGCCAGGGGGTTAGCTCCAAGAGTGTAGATGTGAAGGAGGGGAGCAATGTGAGAGAGAAAGGAAGTCCCGGGTGTGAGACTTTTACATGTAGGTGAGAGAAAGCGTGCGGGATTAACGTCTATCCTTTCTCCTGAACTTTTGTTATAACCTCCATTTCTGACTGACACCCCTGCATGTTTCCATTCCGCACTCTTTTCTCCAACCTCATCTTTGCCCTTACGGCAGCTCCCTAACTCATTCCTCATTACCAGGGGGTGGGAGGTGGGGAAACAAAGCCCCCTCCTTACAGATGGGGTGTCGTTGTCCTCAGCCAGGTGACCCCAATTAAGCTCACTATGTATATCACGCCTCTTTTCCTAACCTAATATTTCGGGCCTAACTGAACTATTGAAATACTGTATAGTTTAATGTAGAATATAATTGCAAATATATTATTTCTAGTGGTTATGGTTTGTGTATACTGAAATTTTGCCCTTTTTTAAAAAAGTGTAATTTCTTCGCTTAAATTTTTCATGAACTGAAACCATCAGGAACCTTTTTCTTGTCAGTGATGTCCAAACCTGCTTCTACAGATATTTAGGTTTCTTGATTCTACTGAAAAATACACATATTCAAAATATATATTCTGACAGTACTAACAAAGGCAAAGTTTAAAGAAAAAAAAAACATTTAACATTTACACTGACTTCATGCTTACCTTAGCTGTACTGCTCTTTATACTGTATATATGTACAGTATGTATTCTGGAATGAAAATCACCAGACAAAACTGACAAGATCTGAAACAGCAGTTTGGAAGTTTTTGCTTAGACATTTTTTTATCTTTAAGAGTGTAGTTCTGAACCATACTGGTAAACTCCAGAATTCACTCTAGATAATGCAGCTGCATGATCAACCTTTTCATGTAGAGAAAACTCAAAGACAAGCTCCACCCAGACTTTTTCTCTCACCCCTTTGGTGCTCAGATTAGTTAGGACTATTCACTTTTTCGCTTCTCAAGATGGGATTGTGCCAGATGGCACATTGGATGAGTGCTTGCCTACTCTAGCCCATGTCAAGTGCTTTCTCCCTTTGGCTCGATACCTGTCCACTATCAATCATTTCAAAAGCAAGAACACGATCAAACACTGGTGTCAGGAGGTGAAGTGTTGGAATGGACTGTCAAACTTCAGATCTCAAACTCTTTTATTCTGTCTGTGTGTGGTTGTATCAGATACTGCTCTGTTGGAAATAATTTCTGGAATTAATCCTGTATTTTGTTTGGGATGTGGGAGATAAATATTGGAGTGTTTGCACAGCTCATAGAATACTGAAACTGGCTGAACTTTTGAACAGTGGCATTGATGAATGTCCTGCAATTCTTCCTTGTAGAAGATTTGTAGTGCAGTGCTTTCAGGAATTGCTATTCCTGTCAAGATGGAAGAAGAGTATTTTTCAGTTCCATTGTACAAGCCACGGATTTAAAAAAGAGCAGTAATCTCCACTATAGTCAAAGCATTTGATCCCTTTTTGCAGTTGCTTCCCTTTCGTTTTCTTTTGTAAGACACTTTTTTACGAGGCGTTTTAAACAGTGGTATGTCATCTAGTGTAAAACTAACTTGTACTAACTTCCACTATATAACTGCCGTTTCAAACCTAGTTAGCAACAGTTTAATCAATCTCATCAAGGCAAGTGGAAACATGGATTTAATCAAACATACAATATACTGTATCACCAACTTATTATCTACATTTGAACCAGGCTCTTTGCCAGTCCCTGCTATCCAGCTTAAGAAGGGTCGAGTGAACATTTAATCTGTTTGGTATTAATGGATAGCAAATTGTTCCTTAAATTTCAAAGTCTACATTTTTTGTGTATCTAACAAGATTCCGTGGGAGATACTGTATGCAAATGTTACCAGAATGAGAGGCTGAGCAATATTAATGAGAATATTAAGCATTTTATTGGCAAACCTGTTACAATTCTAGTACTATAGTGTAATGTATGTGGCTGTGGTGCGTTGGGCAAAAATAGATGTGACATTTTGAATTTTTAAACACGAAACAAGAACAATATTGACAAATAATGGATGAAGGAAAAACCCTCACAGTTTACCTTTTATGTTTCACTGCAGTCAAAAGACACAATCTGAAGGTCCGGATAAATGCCACAGGGGACACAATTACCTTCAAGTTTGTTCGGCCAAGCCCAGACACCAAGCTGGAAGGTTATATCCTTGGATATGGAAGCAGCATGTTTTCCAAACAGTTCATCCAGCTGCCAGAAGATGGGGTGCCTTATGAAACAGAAGTCGGTAAGATTCTTGTTTTTTTTCCGGGAAAAGAAGACTTTATTGCAAATGGCAATAAATCCAATACGTTGGATGAACAGTTACATACTCTAGCCTGTCGTCTTTACAATAATAACATCTGTAATTTCTGTTATTTTTTATTTTTTTATAATGAGCTATTATTTTTATTGGGATATCCCATTTTTATTGGCTTTCATTACTTTGGATGTTTAAAGGAATTAATTTAATTCTCTTAGAAGTTTGTTCTCCTGATGAGCAATATTAATTAGGCATCCTTTGCTTTCCTTTGATTGACTATAACATTAATTAACTTAAGAAATGTCTGAGTTTTCTTCAACAAGTTAAGGCGAGCATGGGTTAAATTCCTATTTTGCAGGCAATTATCGTATATGAGGTTTAGCTGGAAATCAAGAGATGTACTTTTGAAGGTTTTAGCCCAGTTCATGTTTGCTGGAAGGCAAGGTTTGATGATGAATGAAAATTGTACCTGCATACTCTATAAAAGAACAATTCAAAGCAAGCCTTACATAACTTTATATGCCAAGGCATGATCATTTGGAGAAGGGGCTTATCAGCCATTATCACACTTCAATGTGCTATTTTCACCTAGAGTACACATTGTTGAGATCAGTGTATTAATAATGCATCTGGCACCTTATTTAATTGGTTACATCTGACAAAACTTTTCTTTCACAAAGGCCATGTATGATTTATTGAGATGTGCTGCCAGTTCTTGCTAAACAGGAGCTATCCAAATCAGGGGAATTAAGTCAGATTTCCATGACAAACACAGGGAAAATGAATAATATACAGTATAGATTAATAAGTGCCAACACATTCTCCTTGATTCCTACTACAGTCAAAGAGAAGTGCAAAGTTGAACAGGTACTGTAGGATAGTCATAGTTTCTTACCAAATTTTTACATCCTGTTAACTTTTTTCTTTTAAAAAAACTATTTTATAAAATATATTATATTTTTGGTCTCATTGCATGCATCTTAATTCTTTCCTTTAATACAGGAGTATCCAGTCTTCACCCTGGAGAGCTAATGTGTCTGCTGATTTCATTTAAAGTTCACTTAAAACCAACAGCACCTGAAATGCTAGGAGAAGCTATTAAATTGCTTAAATTAAGCTAAGCCATTAACCAGCTGGTTTAGCTTGTTAAGATTTGGGTTGGAATGAAAACTAACAGACACACCTGGGCCTCCAGATGTGGATTGCTTTAACAGTGAGTTTGAAATCAGTTCAATCATAATATAGTATAACCATGGATACTCAGTTTTTGCTGATGTATGCCTTTTAGGATACTGCAGTCGGTTAAAAATAAATGTTTATAGTTCATGTCTTAAGTGAATAATTACTTATGTACTAAGTGCTGATGGTAAAAAAATATTATACACTGAAAGGGTTTCATAAATATTTGGAGATAAACAGTGCATAATGATTTGTAGATCCTGTGTTGCATTTTTTCTGTATTGTCTGTAGCAGCAAAGTACCATAAATGCACATCACATAGATATACTGTATAAATAAGTTTTTACACAGGTCTATACATATAAATGCTCATATGAAATAAACACCTATTGAATTACACTGAATTGCTACTGTATATTCCACAGGTTCTCTTTTTCCATATGCTTTGCCGTGCCTGCAGGTCATCCCGCTGAAAGATACTAATGGAATTCCTTGGACAATAATACACTTCCCCACGGCAATATTGGTTCTGTATAGTGAAGGAAAAGCAGATACAAACTTACATTTCATATACTGAAGGGGCATAAAAACAGTGAATTCAACAACCAGTTCCCTGACTTGGCCTCCTGGGTTATGGGCTTGCACAGAACAACACTTGAAGAAAGGGTTAAAAGAATACCTAAAGACTTCATCACAATGTTTGTTTTTCCCTGAGGGTTTTTTCTGCCTTGCATTAATTGCATTAAACAAAACTCCTTTTGTTTGGATTTCTAAAATAGTTTCCAAGACTACCTTGGCAAGTCAAGGAAAGGTTAAAAAGGAATACCAGTCCCCCCAAAGCTAGTGTTTAGTGCGTTAACATGTTCTAATGTTTATCCATATAATACAGTTTTATTGAAAGGTAGAAACTACTTTGGCCAAAATATTTGTGGTGTTATTAAAAAGAAAACAGATGGGCACTGCATTATCAAACAGGTGCACACACTTCTTGTGTTCTCCCACATGCTTCATAAAAATGTGCATTTGTTTTAAAATCGCTTGTCATATTAAAATGATGGTGCATTTTTAGCCACTACTGTCTTCCAAGCCTGTAGGTTCTGAAAAACCATTACTTTCCTAAAATGATAAATCAAGTCTGTCACAATTCTCTTCATAAATGTGTGAATTTCTATAAATGAGGAATAAATATACTGCATTCTGCCATTAAAAAAACATAATAGTTTACAAATGCGGCTCTGCAAGAATATCAACACCTCAACAAGCAGCTTTCCACTAATTTGCCATCATTTCCTAGATGAAGTAGTTTAAGAGAATGCAGGGGGGGTACCAGTTAGCATTTCTATTCAAGAAAAATGTATACCAAAGGCACGGTTTCATCAAAGCACATGGGATTGCTTAAAAAAAAACAACTGTTCTCCAGAATCCGCCACAATCCACAAACCCATCTGTCTGTTCCACAGTAGTATTATGCACAATAAATCTTTGTTGGTGTTGCTTCCTAACATGCATACCTTGTGCTTCCCAATACAGTACGTCAATAAAGAACAGTCATTCTTACAAAGCATCTTTAAAATGCACTGGAATCAAACAGAAAACAAAAATAAGGATGCTGATATGATATCATTAGACAGCAATGAATCATGGAGCCATGTGGGAGAACTAATCTCAGCAGTCCACTGCACCGTCAAACCGGCTTACTGCTAAAGTCTTTCTGAGTTGTGGTTTGCTTTTTGGCTCAGCCTTGCAAACTGCTGATGATAACTCTGTTACACACACGTTTGACGCCAATACCAGTCAAGAAAAATCATACTGGCTTCCACACAGAGAAAACTATTATGCTTCCTAAACCATTTTGGCTCTATGTTAACTTTTACTTGAGAATGATAGGGGTTATAATTCCTGTAGTTCAGTATTTTGTGAAATTGCTGTTCGTGTGGAGTGAGATTACTTAAATAGAACAATGTGAAGTCATGCAAAATTTCCTTATACAACTGAATTGCATTTAATTAAATGGAATTTAATTATTCCAGACTGTTTCGAAGAATTGCCACAGAGAACAATTTTCTATCTGTAGCAGAGTTGGGTATCTTTACAATTGATCGGGGCTAGATAGGGTTAGATTAAGATTGCGTTTTAAGATATTAAGAAGATGAAAGGATTAGAGATTGGACTTTCTGTGCCACCAATGACACTAGGTTTTTTCAAGTTTTGTATTTAATTTGGAAACAGTGATGTCAGAAATATAAAGGATATAAAAACTTAGTATTTAATACTGCTTTACTGTACCCCTCCCAAAACTCTCTGTCTTTCTGAACTAATACCAGTGCCCATTTCACTCATATAGGAACATCTGTGACTCGGTTCCTTTGGTTTTCCAAAGAAAATCCTTTGGAACGAGTCGTTTTGCAAGGCTTTCCTCTACCCACCCTTCTCTGAAATGTGTTGGATGTGAAAAAAAGTTAATTTTCATGACTCAGTTGTTTGGGACAGAGGCTTTTGACACAAAATAGCAAAACAGAAAAGCTGCCAAGAGTCCTTGTAAACAGCCACATTATCTCTATGGAAATCTTTCGTATTGTTAAATCATATCAAAGTTCTAGCATGAATCATAAGAAAAAAATGGGAATACTGAAGGTCAGTTGGGTAGCTGTTTGTTGCTTAAGTACAGAGCTAGTATTCTAGAGCTTATGATAAACTAACGTCAAATACGGGCTTTTAGTTAATTAATTTCGGTATTACTATGAAAGGTCCTATTTATCCATTTTTAGAGGGCGGCTCCTGTCTGCAGGCCTGTCTATCACACATATTCTGGAGCAGGGAAACCTCTATAGAGAGCACAGTCTGCTGAGATCAAGTCAGTAATGAGAATCAAATATCCAGCGTGTTTTGCACATTAACTTTCATCACGTCATCTTTTTTTAATCGCTCACCCACCCAGTCCGGAGTTGCGATTTGTTTTAAGTTCCGACTCACCGGGCAGCAGCTCCCACGGTGCCTGGGAGACACCCCCATTCCCCGAGCCACTCGCTGTTCGACACATCGCAGACGTCTCAACGCCTGCTGGGGGAGGCGGCGCCCACCGCAGGAGCAGGACATCGGTCGCCGATGGCTCTGCAATCCTGCAGGCACCTGGCAATCCCAGGGGTGGCCGCCTGCTGGAAGGCTGACATGTCTCATCACAGCCCTGCCCCCGTGGTGCTCTGCCACGCGTGTGGAGTGACTTGGGGAGCTCTGGTCAGAGTCAGCTAGTCATAGAGCTCACCCTTCACTGTACAATGTACGATGATACCTTATTTCTTTCTGTTATTTCCACAAGAATCAGTTTCACACTTCAGATCATCACTTGTTTCAGACGTTACGTTTCCATACAGTATGTTGCAACATGGGCTATGATGCTTAAATTCTCATAAAACTGTTTCATAGCATAATATATATATAGTTCAGGTGGGTAGCTGCGTCAGCATGCGTAGGCTGCAAAGGAACAAGTAATAGGTTTATTCCATGCTGAAAAAAAGAAGAAAGAGAACACAACGTTTCGGCCGTGGAGCCTTCTTCAGGTTCTAATATATATATGTTTTTAATCATTTTTTCATGTGTTCTTTCTGTAAAATATGCTTCATTACTAGGACTTGCCTTCAGGGATTAAAGACTGTTGCAAAACACATTTTCAGCTATTATTTTTAATTTGATGGCCAGTTCTATGGTCAGCTTTCCTTGGAAACTGAGAGCGACTCTCTACAGCATTGTGCTGGCTCCTATTTGTATCCCCACCCTCATCAATGAGCCAGATCATTCCAGTTTTCTGCTCACTTTTCCGTTAAAAATACTCTTCTCTGTGTGTTAACCAGTTGCTGGTTTTGTTCATTTAGATGCTGAACCCAAGTATCTGATAGCGGTGCAGCCAATCCCAGCCAATGACGTGAAGAAACAATGCACAGGTAAAATGACTGCCATGCTATTGCACCGAGATCCTCACCTTCATATCTCAAGAGAAGAACGACTGTTTCCTTAAATGGATTTCATGTAAATAAATACAAAAATATTCTGCTTCTTTAAATGATTGTGTTGCGTGTGTGCTGAAAATGGAAATGGAAACCTTATACAGTACGTGAAACATGTCGCATTCAAATGCAACTTCAGGGGCCCATGAAAAAAATCCAAACTGGCATCGTGCCGTAACAAAACTCACAGCAACCTATTATGTCAATTTGAAGGACTATTATCATAGCAATACTCCAGCATATTCCATGTATAAATTATGATGTTATCCTTATTATACTGTATGAAGTATTATGCAGATTAAAAGGGGTTAATGTCAATTAGAGAACGACAAAAGGGTTTTATACTTACTTCTTAAAACTGTTTACTGTAAAACCTTCCCACTGCCCGTCAACAACTTTCAAATGCTCTGCACTGGATATCCTCTCTTTTTATTGTCGTGAGGTGGAGCTTTTCAAACAGGCCATTCAGAGGTTTATTAGGGGCTCTGTGTTTTCACATCCCTGGTCCCATTCCATATGCTGCATATGGAAAGCACGTGTGGTGTGAGAAGAATGAGCTGTTGTTATTGTCCTTGGCGTGTTTTGGAATTTTCTCTAAGAAGTTAGAGACATTTCAAGCAATACACAGTCATCTTTGCCAAGGCATTAATCAGTTAGTGGAAAGGAAATGCACATTATTTTTCATACTGACCAATTTACTTTCAATAATATTTCCTGAATTGATAATAAATCGAAATTCAAAATGCCAGTAACAGCAGCTGAGTACACTATAACTACTTTATGGTAGCGTAATGATTTCTAAACTAGTGCTGTGAGCATGGAGATCAACACTACTCAAAGGATGTTATTAAAGTTATCACCAGCAGCTACAAATTATTAGAAATTATTCTAGCACATTGTCGGCATTTTCAAGGGTTTGCCTTTTTTTTTTTAGCAAAGCTCAATGTAACGTGGTTCACAACACAATGTGATTTCAAAGCCTAAATTTCCCCTTCTGGGATTCAAGGGTGAAACGGGGCTCATTGTGTTAAAGCTCATGTGGATGGTGGGCCCGTGTCTGTCTGATACCCACAGACCTGCTGGCAGGAGTCACTGCGGTAAGAGAAGGATCCTCCAGCAGACCCTAGTGATCAAAAGTGACTCCTTGTCACTCTGCTTGAGAGACGTAGATGGCTGGATTCAAGACTGCAGTCTTCAGTCTGTTGAACTCACCTGGAAAGAGCCACTTGTCGAATTATCTATTTGATCATAGTACACCTTTGTCTATTTTGTTGATTAGTGGATTTCCTGCTTCTTGGTTATTTTCTCTATACAGCAATTTACTGTATACAATTCCTTGTCTACACGGTTCTATGGGTTTCAGAAACTCTGTGCCACACAGATCTACCACATCTCTTACGTTAAATCGTCATTGGGCCTGGCTGACATGCTGGTGCTGGCGTTCTTTTAACTGTGCACACTTGCTCAAGCTACTCAAGCTGTTTGCTGTGTGACTGGGGTGCATGTCTTATCACAGGAGAGGAAGAGTGGGGATTGTCAGCACATTTTTGAAACAAGAAATGAAATCCAGTTCCATGGTGGGGTTCACAGAAACCCCCACTTAACGCCAGCGGTGTGGCTGCCACACTGGAATATTGTGCTCGTGAAATTGTTCTCTAATGACCAAAGCCACGTATGTCCATGCATCGTCTTGGCATCTTCAGAACCAAAACGAAATTCTCCAAAGCAGAATTATTAACGACCAAAAAAAAAAACCCTCTATGTTTATACAGGCCAAGTCAACCTTGAGAAACCCCTTCATCTTGTCATCGGCTCTGTGACACCCACGTCTGTCTTGCTGTCTTGGGGAATGTTCTTGAAAATGCCTTATGAAGGAAGCATAATGAATGACTGCCTGGAAGATGGGTAAGCTACAAGTATTCTCTGAAGTATTACCACGTGAAGCTATTGCTGTAGCACATAAGACACCCCCTTCATGCCTGAGCAGTAAATAGTAGTAATCTATGCTTCCCATCAGAGCAATGCAGTCACATCTAACAAAGGTGTGCAGTAGAAAGAAAAATAGAGTCAGTAGCAAAGGTTAATGTAATATTTTTTGTTTCTGGGGTTCACCTGCTGTACAAGGAACACGAGAAACCATGCAAGATACTTCCACTCACTCAACAAATGCCAACATTGGACTTTTAAGCACTTTGTGCTCAACAGAAAATGTACTAAATGGACATGTGAAAAAATATGAAAGCAGCAGCAAGACATGTCTTTGTCTTTGTGCTGCAATAACCTAAAGACAAGAATTGAACATAAAAAAATAATAAATAGCATTTTACAAATGTTCCATGCCTGATCTTAATAATCTGATCCACTTGCCTGGTACTCCCACATTATTACAGTGTCTTCTTAATTTCCTGTGCAAGGTAACAGAAGGATTTGCTCCGTACAAACAGTTTGCTTCCATTCCCAGCAGTTACGGCCTTAGCAATATCCTATTGGATCGCAGTTCTGCTGTTATTGACTCCTTTATAATCCAAACTGTGATTGATAGTTCTTCTTTTTCATGGTGCCTGTCCAGTGAGAGAGGAGAAAGAATGTGCGGATATGTCAAGTATATTTCCAAGACTGACATAACACCTCTGTGATTATTACTATTCAGCACTCCACTGTGCATAACAGTGGAGAAATGCATTTGAACAAATATATAATTGTTTGTTCTTAGTTGCTATAAGTTAACAAATGTTGGCTCTTTTGCTCTTAATTTGCTGCTACAATCCTTCATTATTTTACTGTGTACATCTTCCAAGTATCAATCTTATAGTACTGCATATGGAGTTTAGTAAAAAAAGGGGGCTGGATCAGTTAGCACTAAAACTATTCTTCTTCATCATCTTGGTCAAAATATTTCTTTAAACATAGGTAATACATTCTCAGTATATTTTTTTTTATCTTGCATTAGATGCTTTGCAGGTGTTTGATTTAGCACCAGTTGTTGAGCCCCATCAATCTCGGTTCTGTAGAACAATGTTGCTACAGTACGTGTTGCTACGTGTTGCTTCATGGCTCTGGGAGACAAGCTGTGATTTAGCACAGTATTTTCATTTCCCTCCAAGGTGTTTTAGAGGAGAGGTGGGATTTGAGAAGGATATGAAAACCAGCTCTCAGACAGAAATCCTAGAGCTGTCTGATCACTCTGGGGCTCATATCAATCACAGAACAGAATAAAAATCTAGAATAAGATAAGATTAAATCCAGCATACTGGGATCTCTCAAAAATCTGATTTCTGTTATCTCATGCCTGTTGTTAGACTATGCTGTACAACAGAAGTATTTTTGGAATACAAACTATTTTATGCTTGCTACCTGAATATATCTTTTTATTTTTTTATATTTCAGAATTCAAGAGTGGATACTCTTGTACATTTTAAGGTACTTCAAAATTAAGTATTGGAAACCATCAGCAGGGTGAAATATCTGATATTTAGATGGAAATATAGAAATGAATTGGACACAATTACGCAACAGAAAATCCAGTCCACATCAGAAAAAAGGTCTAGACTGTCAGACAAGCTTGCAATTGACAGTTTTGTTTATTTTAGGAACTTTACAATTAGGCAAACACGTGACACTCTTGTCAATGTCTATGTGTGTCTTTTATTCTAGTGTAAGTTAATTAATAATACATTTTAAAAAAATCTTTGCATATGAAAAGGCATGGCAAAACAACAGCCCTACTGTCAAGGTAGCAGCTCATGTTAGATTTTAATGAGCCCCAGTGTGATCAGACGGCTATATTTTTTGTGATCTTACACTAGATGCTTTGCAGGTGTCTGCTTTAGCACCAGTTGTTGAGCCCCATCAATCTCAGTTCTGTAGAACAATGTTGCTACGTGTTGCTACGTGTTGCTACGTGTTACTTCATGGCTCTGGGAGACGAGCTGTGATTTAGCACAGTATTTTAATTTCCCTCCAAGGTGTTTTAGATGATGTGGGCACGTAGCTAATACAGAGGTACAACCGCTAAAGCGTCCGGCGGGGGCGCTACAGTATTTATTCTGCAGAACGCAGTTATGTCCCATTTTATATGCTATATTTTAAACTTTTTTTATGCTGAATAAACATAAGCATACTGTACCTACAACAAATATAATAATGTAGTTAATATAAATGGAATAAAGGAACGAGTAAAGGTTTATTCCATGCTATAAAGAGAAGAAAAGAAGCTCAATGAAGACCGTGGAGCCTTCTTCAGGTCTCATTACATTAAGTTTGTCTGAATTCCAGTTCTGCAGTGTTCGCATTCAAAAATTAACATAAAATATTAAGTTAGCTGGAATTAAAATAGATATCCCATAAATATACTGAAGTATTGTTCTGATCTATAGGTGGTCCTGTTAAAATAAAAACATAAGTAAACCAAACCTTTTTTTATATATTTCAGACACTACACTGTGAGGTACAGGCCAAAACAGCATAACAAGAAGTGGACCTACCAGACCTGCCCCACCAGAGACACTGTCATTGACAGACTGAGGCCCAACACCCCTTATGAGTTTGGTGTAAGGCCCAGCAAGAACAAACAGGATGGAGTGTGGAGCAGGCCAGTTGTTTATTCAACAAATGGGAAAGGTAATGGATCACTCATCGTATATTTTACGGCAGCGCATTGCTGCCACCAAGGAAAAAAAAATCCTCACCCTTATCTCATAATTACAAGATAACTTTCTCGCCCTGAATTATCTCGCAATTACAAAATAGTAATTCTCGTGTACTTTATGTGATCACGCAATTGCACAATTGTCATATAATACCGATATCAAGTACTGTAGGTAGCTACGTCAGCATGCGTAGGCTGCAAAGGAAAAAGTTAGTGGTTTATTCCATGCTGAAAAGAGAGAAAAAAAGAAACAGCCCTCACAGCCAAAACATTGTGTTTCTTTTCTTCTCCTTTCAGCATGAAATAAACCTTTAACTTTTTCCTTTAATACATATATCACTAACTGTGGACTTACTTTAAGCAGTGGAAGTGATAGCATGTGTAACTGTTCATAACAGAACCATCAATGCTTTGATCTCTAAATCCCACAAAACTGGTCCTCATGGTTTTAATGATTCTGTTCATATTTACTAAAAATTGCAAGATTTCATTATGACTAAGCCCCAGTTGAAAGTAAATCTCTATAAATTCTGCAGCACTGGACATTGACACGATCATTAAACCAAAAGTGCCAGCCAAGTTCGCGGTAGCTTCTACTGTACGTGCATTCAGTGCACAACGTAACAGGATGAACACTGACGTAAGCATTGCTATTTCATTAATACGAGATAAGGGGGCACATTTTTTCCCTTGGTGGCAGCAATGCGCTTCCATAATATTTAACATATTGTATGATAATAGCAAAACTTTATCAAGAAAAGCCCTTTCCCAGAAAACACAATAAGTAAACTTTTAACCTTTTAACACACACTTTTCTGCTTAAATCTGGGGACTAATGGCTTTATGTTTTTTATTGTCTCATTTGTTCTCTTGTTTTATGCTATTTCATTGCCACTTGAATCACTTTGTACTCAAGTACAAATTACTATCAGTGGATTTTGTTAATAGCTTTGTAACTGATATATACAGTAGTTATTTTAAAATTTCTGATATGTTAGTTATGCATTATCTGACAATATATGATGTTATGTACTTATCATGTGTACTGTATATGTATGCAAAATTATAGATGGACCCAGGAAACCAAATGGACCCATGAAACCGAATGGACACATGAAACCAAATGGACCCATGAAACCAAATGGACCCATGATGAACCCCAGAAAAGAAGAGAAGCCTCAAACTGATAAGCTTTTGGTAAGTACTTCTGGTAGCTCTTAAGTTACTTGCAGAGATGCACACAGTCATTGAAAACTGACAAGTCATGCGAAAAGCAGCCATAACATTTGTAAAGCTGGATGGATCCAGCACTTTCAAGGTGGAGCTCAATGAAGGAGATGAGCGCATATTACTACAGGAAATTTGAGTAAGGAATATCTTTATCTTCCCCTGTTTAACAAGGCAAAAGAATTCTTAAAAAAAACACGTTTTGAGCCACTGAAGGTGGGTGGGACAAATTAGGATGGTCAGCATTTGCTTGTACAGGTCTCCAAGATGTCTCTACACCTCTCCAGAGAGTAAGAATACCAAGTATAAACACAAAATAAATCACCTTGATATTCAGTTTACTGGCTTGCTATGGAAGGCACTGTTTTCATTCCTCTGCAGTCGTAACTGCTTCACTTCACTTCACTTCACTTCACCTTTCACGTTTGATATTCCTCTTACCCACTGCAGTGTCACTGGACTTGGCAAGACACAGGAGAGAAACAAAATATCGATTCTGCCCGATATGACAAACAGTAAATTCAGTGCCCAATTTTCCATGATTTCATTCTGACACCTTTCTTATACAGTAACTCCACAGAAACTCTTGAGCCTCCTGAGAAAACATTAAACTATAGAGAACCCAAGCGAGCATCCAAAGAGACTTTTTGCCTAAATATAACTTTTTGTTTCTAGCAACTGTAATAATACTGAGTTGCACTTGTACTGTACATATGAAAATGATTGCTTTGTTCTCTCTGCTTTGGCTGCTCAGTTATGGTTACATTTAAAACTGCTACAGAGCATGCTAAATGAGACAAATCCTTAGAGAGGTATTTAAAAGTATTTTTTTCAGAAGGTATTCCTGCTTTTTTTCAGAAGCCGGTGATTCCATCAGTCAAAGATCCATTACCGCCCAAAATCAGTAAGTATTTACTTTCACAAGAACAAATATTTTGGAATTGTTCATTTTGGGTCTAATAAATGAACTGAGTTATCCAAATGGATAACTGCTTTCTCATTTGCAGGACGACCTCAGCTGATCTGACTTAATCTTTAAATCCCCCAAGCATTTTGCTTTAATCTTCACCTACTTGAATACTTATTATAAAATTCTCCACTCCTTAAATATCCTTCAAGATAACTGCATATTTTGAGCAATGAAAACTTATATTTAAGATAAAAGTTACTATCAGAACACTCTTTTCTCCATTACTGACGGTATATTAGCAGGACAAAAAAAAGACAAAATGGGCAGTTGTAACTGTTGTTTATTTATAGCTGTACTCTGCCACCATTAGAAGATAACTGACTTAAAACACAGTCTCTGTTGGTGCTCCTAATAAACGAGCATATTATAATGAAATAAGTCCCTCACATTAGCTCACAGGATACAGCTGCTAAAAAGCTTCATGGAAGTTCTTAACTGAAGATCAGGAGTGGTAACGACAAGCCTTTCGATCCAGCTGTTCTAAATCGTAATCATTCCCCATGTCATTTCTTGAAGCTATACTGTATATATAATAGTCAAATCCCTTTTTGTTCCACCTTTCGCCTCACTCAAGCCTCCTCTGCCCCATCTCCAGCTCCCCCTTGTTTAACTGCTCACCCTGCAGGGGGGTCCCAGCCTCCTCGTCCTGATGTGGACCTCATGCTGGTGGGATGATGGCAATTTAGAGTGAAGGCAATGACCGGCTCACGGCATCTTGTCCCAGTAGCCCCTAGTGGAGTATGAGTGAATGACACAGTAATAGTAATAAAGCAGGAATGAGGATAACACTACACAGAACAATTTCTATTTTCTTAAAAGGTAACTCATGAAAGGTACAGTACAGTAGGCAACGTCCAACTGTCTTAGTAAAGCTCCACTGAATAGAACCAACATGGGTTAGAAGTAGTGCTTTTTGCTCTAGTTTCTTTAAACAATGGAGCCATGTTCATAACTAAAAGGTTTTTAAACTCGCTGAAAAATGTGTTTTTATGTTTCAGGCTTTAACATGTAAGGCTATGAGTGTTGTCTGAGTTCTGCCTTAGTGCTACTAATTATTTTGTTGCAGCTGAGCCATCATTTCACGATGAGCTTTGATTCATGGCCAGTCCTGCTGTTGCTACTTCATGGTTGTGGCAACCTAGAAGGAGCCAATTCCATCCAGACCAGGAATATCTAGAACTTCAGCCCAGATATTTGGATAGGGAATAACCAATAACACTATAATATAACCAACATTCCTTTACATGAGGATTTGTAAAGAAAAATGAGTCTATGTTGAAGTAAAATCACAGACACTCCAGACTTATATGAACTGTGATCAATCAATCTTATGTTGTGGTATAGGGAGCTCATTGTGACGTTCGTGAAATGCAGTTAATATAATCTGTTGACTTTTCCTCCAGTGGTTCATGACAAGACCCTACCACCAGTGTTTCCCCATACAAATCATCCTGGCTCTCCTTCAACAACCAGGAGACCTCTTGGTAATTGTCCTTTTTTCTGCTGACATTCTGTTCCTCTCTTTGTTGTTCCACAGCTTTAACTCACATTATCTTCTATGCAGCTGCTATTAGGTGGATGTAATTACTGTATATGCAATGACTGGAAACTACTTATACAAATGCAAAGCACTTTACTCCGTATAAGACATCATCTCTGTTGCAGCTGTGGGAAAACAAAACACATTCTTTGAATTTTCACCGGGAAAAATGCATTTGTCCCATTGTGTAACAGCCTGGTAAGATGCTTTGCAAAACATTTAAGCTGTGCTTTTGATAAGTGACAGTATTCTTTTTTTTTCAAATTTTAAAATGATTCACAATGCCACTATATGGCAGCTCATATATCAGCAGCTCTCTACTGTGGTTAAATATAATACGTGATGCCTGGACGTGCTTTACAGTGTGAAAGAGTTTTGTTCCTACATGGGATATCTTACATGGCATATCACTGGAGAGCAATTGGAGATCAATACCTCACAGCACTGCTCATTGTTTCCATATGATCCTCTGTGTTTTTACACTGTCATTGCTCCAGCTGCCTCAGATGTTTTTTTTTTCGGTCTACGATATGTCATCTTTTTAAGAAGTTTTGAAACCTTATTATTTTCTGCAGCATCACACAGAAAGCAGCCGGACACACCCACAGACCCATCATCCAAGTTACCTCACAGGACACAGGGTACACTGGGTAACAGAGACAGACAATTCTTATTTTTTTTATCACGCAGCTTACTTGCCATTGGTCCAAGCTTGGCTACATAAAAACTGTTGCTTTATTGGAGGAGTCTAAGTATGTAGCTGTTTTGGAGTGCATGATGCTAGCTGGCATGTCTTGAGTCTCTTTAAAGTCACGAGCCAACACCACTGTGAGACAGATGACTCCCGGAGAAACAGATGTGTAAGTCTGTCTGGGCAGTGGAAAGACTTTGTTGCCCAGTCCAAGGTTTGCGCATGGTTTCTTCTTTTTGCTGTGTCCTGTTTGAATTTCAGCTGCTGGTATGCCCTGGAAAAATGACACTAAGCGCTCTCAAGAGATATTGCCCGTTCACGCTCTGCGCACAATATCTTTTCATCCATTCCTGTCTTTGTTGTGCAGTGTGTGTCTTTGTGGTTTGTGTTTCATTCACATACCTTTTTGTCTGTCGCTTCTGGTTGTCTCTCTGACCAAACGTTTCTTCCCTTTCCTGATGTCTTTAATGGTGTCCACTCCTTGAGGAAGCTGTGTTGGTGATTACTCTCCTTTGTGAAAAGTCCTCCTACAGTACTTCATCATATGATTCAGAGCCACTATAGTATCCCACTAAGAACAAGGCACTATCTTTAAGCCAATGCCAAATGGGCCTGAAACCAGGACTAAGTTAGTGGACTTTGGCTAAATTCATTGGAAAATCATTAATTTAGGCATGATTCACCAGTATAATTTACTTAAAGGTATTATTCATATTGCTTAGTTTTCTCAAGGGTTATTTTTAAAAATCAAATGAAGCTAATGGTCTCTAAAATGTCTGTCCAGGATTCCAGCAAGTGAACTAGGCAGCTTCCTGAAAATTAAAACCTTATTTTAATGCAGTATTTATGCTTTGACTTAATTCAGGATATAATAGATGATATGTAATGGATGTAAGAATACAGTAGGTATCCTGGTATGTGAGACCAGTAATGTAAATACCCATTCAAATAAAATTGTTTTATCACTGAATCAACAGTAGAATTCCAAATCAAGTTCAATGGTATTAATATCTTAGTAATCTAAATATCTTAATATCAGTGCCTTTCAGTACCAAGGGACTGCAATACAGAGTTTTCAAATGTATTTATTATTAGATTATTGTTTATTTTTATTTGTCCTTACAAGTCAACTTTCTGCTCAGATGTAAACTCATTCTTGTGCCATGCTATTCCATATTTTATGTACTTCCTTCATCTTTTTCCTCGGATTATTTTCCTTCTTTTCATGTTTAAGATTTTTTTTTCAAGGTTGTGCTTTCAGCAGATGTTTAACCAAGCTTTATTTGCACATTTTGGGTTCGTCCAGACTGCATGTGCAGTGTCTGATACATAACTGCATGCTGGGAAATTCTAATTCATTTTTATCTTTTAAGGAAAAATGTGCTGATCTACCCTTACATCATCAATTTGCGTCCATAGTAATTTTAATAAATCAATTATACTTTCTGTAAATGACCAAACCAGATGGGTATGTAGTTCATCAGCATTTTTGACCATATTATATGACCAGATTTACACAAAAGCTCTGGTCTGTCCATCATTTTGTGATATATTTTTTAAAAGGTCTAGAAATAGTGTTTTTAAGAATCTTCATTGTTACCATACTCTGAGTTCAAGCAAACTTTAAAATAAATTCTTACAAAGTTTTGTGAGAATTTAGTTACGTTTCCTTGTAAATGATTTGCATCAACTATTAAAACAATGCCAGATGATACTTTTTATATCTTAGAGGTTGATCTGTCTAAACTTTTAAGTTCAGTGAATGATAATGCCTATAGCATCAGAAAAACATGATGAAAAGGAATTACTATTTCTCTAGCAATTGCCTAATTAGTCGACATTAGTCATAGCCTTTAAAGACTGAAAAAACAATAAGTTATGCCACAGTCTAAAATGATTGATCACAATCTATCAGAGTCTTTGTATAAATAATTGGCTTCATTGTTTTTCCCTCATTACAGTACAAACTATAGATGTTGCATTCCACTAGTACTCACATCAGGCATGAAGATGGTTTTAATTTTGTTTCTAATTCTTCCTGCAGAGGAAAAGAGCATCTTTTGAAAATAATTCATCTTACAAACTTGTTTGCCTATTATCCTCTTAAAACTGTGTACTGACAGATGTCCAAATCAAAGCATTGAAGGAATAAAAAAAATGAGTACAGTAATAATTTAGAATTAATTGCAGACTTTCTTCTGGTTCCCTACTTAAAGGAAATCCACTGATGAAACACTATGGATACCATGAAGGTCACTTGAATAAAATGTCTTTTTTCATCCAGGTATAGCAAACAGTTTTACAAAGGTCCCGTCCTCACCTGCTGATGTGCCAGACACCACTACCCAATTCATTCCTTCCAAAACCCTCACTACATCTGCCACTCCAGTTGTTATTCCTTCTGTAAACGATGAAAAGCATCAAGGGCAAGCTCAAACCAGAGCAGATACTCCAACCACAAGACCACAGATTTCCTCAACTAAAACAACTGAAAGACATCAGATTTCTCTGGGTAAATGAGATTCTTTCCACTTTTTTTATCCTTTCAAAGGCATCAGGGCCTTAGCCAACGCTGCAATAGTTGAAGTGTTCAGTGCCGTTTTCGTCTTCTCAAGCAACACTTAATCCTTTTGCCTTTGTAAGCTGTCCTTTCCTGTCAGTGCCAAGCTCGGCAACTGAAAGGATCCAGCCTACAGGGACAAGAAAGGGGCAACAGCGATGAGTTCTTTGCGTGAAATTTAATTTCGGTAACTGCTGTGTTCTATGACATTTTCCTAAAACATTTGATAGTTCTGAAGTATTTAGAGACTTGATAGCTCCAGCGCATAAGTTATTGTTGGCTGTAGTGATCCTTCATTTGGTCTATAGAAAGCAGCTGTTCACTTCTTTTCAGCTACGGCCAATCATGTTTTTAGATTTGTGCAATTCAAGTCGCTTTGTTACAGACAAAATGTAGGAAAATGAATAGCATTTTAATCAATTGTAAGATAAATTAGTGAAAAAAATTGTGAATAACGTAATTTAAGTTAGTATTTACTGTAGTTCATATTCTTTCCTCCTAGTTCATGGACGTAATAGAATATCTTGCTGCTGACAGCTGATGACAAATAAATTGTGGCCAAGAGCAATTTGCTCTGTCTAAAAAACAAATATGGGATTGTGATTAATTACAAGGTTCAAATACATGAGCCATGTTTGTTGAGATTGAATAGTTATAAATCTGCTTCATGTGGTTATTTATAGATACGGTACCATGATTCATATCATGTTGAATTAGTCTGAATGAAAGTCAGGAGCATTCAATAATTTTGGGACTTGGTCCGACTGTGTGTCTCCCTTTACATTTCAACCATTAATTTGAACAATATTCAACAAAGTTTAATGCAAAACTTTCATTGATTCTTCATTGATGTTTCCCCTAATGACACAATGGTGCTTTTGTCACAATTCATTAATCATGCTGAAGTATTAATGACCATATACATGTACAGTACATAGAGTATAAATGTTACAAATGTCGATGAACTGAATTTATTCACATACTCTGCATTTTCTACAGTTTACTTTGATGTTTCTATGTAGCCCAGACTGCCTATGTAAAAGTGTTCTTTTTTCTTCTACAGCTAAAGGTGAAACATATCAAGGACACTTTGTATCCAAACCATCCATTGCTACTCTCAGACCAAATGTTATCTGGGGTAATGGTTGTTTTGTTTTTATATTCACTTCATTTTAATTCCTTTTTTTTATTCAGGCTTTAGGTCATGCTCCTGCAGCTTCACTGCTTTCCAGCTTGTTCAATTGCTAGCCTTCACCGTTTGTTTTGCTTTTTAGATTCAGAGCTTTCCATTTTCCTATCACACAAATCAAATTCTCTCTGGAACAATTTTGCACTTCATTGCAACTCAAACTCCCTGATGTGAAAAGATGAATGTTTTCAAAATCTGAACTAGCTTCAGTCTTGTGCTTGTGGACTGGTTTGGCTTCATCAGCTCTTGCGACTAAGATCTCTGTTTGTTTGAAGTTAGGCTTTTGTTCAAGTATGTCATCTGACATAATCACAACTAAGTCTGCAGCATACAAGCCCACAGTGTGAAACGTCAAACATTATAGCCCTCAGTCTTTACAAATACAAAATAAGTCAATCGCACTTTTGAACCAAAATAGCTCAAACCAGTTTTCAAACTTAATTAGCATAACTGCTAATTACAGAAATAAATTAAAAATCAATGTGACCTAGCCTCACAGTGTTGGGCTCTCAGATTCAAATTCAGGACCTGAGGTGCTATCTATCTGTGCAGAGTTTCTATATTCTCCCTGTGTTCATGTGGGTTTCCTTCAGGTGCTCCAGAGTCCCCCAACGGTCCAGAAACATACTGGTAAAGTTAATTGGCTTCTGGAAAAATTGCTCCTAGGTGTGAGTGTGTCCATGTCTGCCCTGTAATGGACTGGTGTCCTGTCCAGAGTGTATCCTGCCTTGTGCCCGTTGCTTACCGGGATAGGCTCCGGCTTCTCCTCAACCTTGAATTGGAAGAAATGGTCAGAAAATAGATGGATGGATGAGATCTAATGTTCAATTCATCCATAAAAGAATACAGCAAGAACCAGCGAGTATTAACGGTAATTTTATTTCAAACCCAAAACTGTGTATGTTCTGAAGTTTTGATAAGTTTCAAGATACACCATCTATTCACTTACTGTATAAAACATACAGAATGCTAAACTTAAGCATAATCTGACATTTTTCCTTTGTTGTCAATGAGAATGATCTTATCAAAGTCTTTCTTTTACTTTTCTGTTCTTTCACTTGGGGGCTCGCAGTTACGAGTCTCTGTTCCTCCTAGGACTTCTTTTGTCATAAGTATTCTGGAAAAGGAAAACTGCCATCTAGTCTTCAGCCTATTCAAAATAACGCAAGTATTGAAAGCGAGTTACTTCTTCATCCAAAGGAGTATGCTTTAATGTCGTAGCAAAACTGTGTTGAGCACAATCACGTCATCGTGTTTTTTTCTTCACAGCTAACGCGACATCAATGGTCATGCTACATCTAACTGCTGTATGCCTTCTAACCGAACGGGATCATTCGTCTGTGCGATGAAAATGGTGCTTTTATCAGGAAAACTATAAGAAGCTCTAACCAAGCCTGATTTTGTTTTTCATTTGTTTAGATAAAAGAAATCCCTTCCGTAACTTCACAGCCCCGACGGCAAATCCCTCAAGCCCCTCAATCCACCAGCCATATAGAAAACCTTCAATGAGAACTTTTTTTAATTCATCTAACGGATTAACACGCCCGGGACATGTCCCACCCGGGCCAATTAATACTGCTCAAGCAACAGAGAACCGTCGCCAGGGTAATGGAATCTATTTTCTGTTTACAGTGGTTTCCAACTCTTCCCAAACTTTTCAGGTAGTCAGCTTTTTTAAGAGGGCTTCTGAAATGCAAGTCCTCCCAGGAATTTTGCCACTGGCTTTTTCCGTTGCAGGACTAATGCAATTTCAGATCACTAATCAGTGGCTAAATGGTGTGATAATTTGGTTTGGCCTGTTCACATACTTGGCAGCTCCAACTTGCTGTCAAGTCCTCTTCTACAAGATCTGAAATCTTGTTTGTTTTTTTTTCCTGCTTGATTATTTCTCTGATCTACATTAGATTACAAGCATTATTTATGATAAGGTTCTTTTAGAAACACTCTTTTCCCAGTCTTTCGTAAAAAAAACAAAAACCATAAAAAATATATCTGCAAGCCACAATAATCAAGTCACTCAAGTGTGGTTTGCTCATAGTGAGCCTTCGGTCTTAAATTGAATTTCCGTATGACGTTTTCAAGAGTTCCATGGAGTTTTTGAAGATCCTTCTGAGGAAAGTATTTTTGTGATGTGGCTGCAATGAATTTTTGTAACTTAAATCTTACACTTTCAGAGCTGTTTTGTTGGTCCAGTATGGTACACACTATTACCATTGATTTTAAAGTTTAACAGTTTAAAGATTTTAGATCATTTTAGATCACAGAAATACAACCATAGAAAAAAATATCTATCGTTGCCAATGGCTGCTAACAAGACAAGTTTTTTTTCTTTCCCCACAGTAAATGGAGAACAACATAAAGGAAATGTGCGGCCCAAGTGGCAACAAAGCAGCATAGGTAAAAGAGATGATTACTACTTTCTGCTGAGTTTTTTTTTTCACCTTAACCTGCTGTACAGCATTCTCCATTCCATTTCAGCTCCAGCCCAGGCTAATCTGAGTCATACGGCTATGTTGCTTTTCATTCGTGTTTTGTCTGTTTGCCAGTCTGTTGTGTTGATGTCAAAGTATCTGCATGCAAGCTTTGCAGATCAGATGCTGTTGTTGCCTTCACAAAAGCGAGTCTCAAAGCAGCAAGCGCCTCTTTTCAGTAATTTTAAAGTAGAGTTCAGTTGCACAGTATTTTGCTGCTGGTTGTCTGTAGTGGGGGCTTTCAAAAAGCACACACAGGTCTGGGGGACTGTGCGCATGGATATTTGCTGCATGTTAAAGTCTGATTATGTCATCCACATCAAGCATGTGATGTGAAAGCCATAGCCTTTCGTGCTAAGCTGGCTTGGGTTCATATCATTCTTGCTCATAATCAGTTTGTGATTTGTCTCAGTCCTGCAGGGTAAAGGATGTGTTCTAGATTATTCAGAATGGTGTACACTATAGTATGCATTTAGTATTGTATACAGTATCTAATTCTTGATAATTGTACTTATACTTGCGTTATACTTTATTACAACAGAGTTAAAGAAACAAAAAAGTTAACATTTTCAACAAAAGTCATGGAAGAATTAAACATCTACCATGATGATTCATAGAAAGCTGAACAGAACTGCCAGAAACTATAGAGAACGCTGATAGATAAAAACGTCTTTTACTGTATATATTACTTACACAAACATTGGATGCCCAGTGGTTTTGCACTAAGAATCTAGTGGGTTTGTATAGTCCAGATGTGAATCAGCATATTGGATGTTTATTGGTTTCGTGAGCATGGATTCAGGAAGAAGCAACATGCTTTTTCAAAACCCCACATTTGCAAATTTCTCTAACTGTAGGTGCCAACTTTCATGGGATTTCGTCTCTTAGTGGCTACCTCATCCTTTGGAATAGAGATGAGTACAGGGCGGACCAGGCAATGTTCTATCAGAATGTTGTGGTTTTCAGCTTCTTCCCCACAGAAGGCCCACTGTAGCCACTCTGGAATGGTTTCGGCACCGATTAGCTCACAGCTGGCCATGTTCCAATACCTTGGAAATAGCAGCAATACACATGCAGTCTCACAAAGATTCAGAAACCTTCAGTTTAGCTTCACAAAGAAATGTAGGACCAATTCTCATTTTATGCTACTGAACTGAAAGTTGAGAGAATTCAATTTTCTTAGTTGACCTTGAATAAACACGTAGCATTAACCAATTGTGTTGTTTAGACAGTACTTTACAAAACAGTTGTAATTCAGATAGATGCAAATTCAATATTAGGAGATACTGTACATTTCTGATTAAAGCACTATCAGATGAAAAGGAAAATGTTGGTGCTTAAATAGTCAATGATATTGCTACCTTCCACCTCCATCAGTGTTGTACACTTCCTTTAAAATATAAAAACATTGTTTGTTAAACTATGTGATTTGACAGTCTGTTGAAAAGTCACTTATCCAAGAAAATGGTACCCTAGTTACGATTTCTGGTCAATTGCATCATTGCAAGGGTGTGTAGAGTATACTTAAATATTTAAACAACAACACAGACAAATATTAATATCTAGTACAGTTTAATAAAATACTGTATCATTTAAAAACTTTAATTACTGTATATATTTAAGAATTCAGTGAACAATACTGCTGGAGATAGAGAATACCAATATAACAGGTCAGCAGGTGTACTTCACATGAGCAATTGTTTGTCAGCATAGTAAAAACAATGGAAAAAAATAACATTATTGAACCCAGGGGGTATTTATGTCAAATGCACTTACAATTCCCATTCAGATTAAGTTTTGAAATGTTTCATGAGGCTCTATGTAGATTTTATTTTGGGCTGAACTAAAATACAAAAATATCTTCAGGTTGGCTGTATACCACTGATGAATTTTCATGTCTGCACTAGGATGGGTGTAACCTAAGGAGAATCCCATAAAATGCTGCCCTCTAGCTACTGTACATGAAACCAGTTTGCGTCAGTTTTTACCTTACTTCATCTTGGCAATTTAAAAGTATTTGGAGCCCTAAACTACCTTCTCTGTGCTCTAATGTGTGTTTTTTTGCAGTGATAAAAGGATTGGTGTTTACAATATCTTCAAGCGCTGTGTCTGAACAGATTTTAATACAACTGATGCTGTACTGTACATCTTTCAGGACTGAACATCAATGTTATGATTCCTGAGAAAGTGTCTTTAGAAAGGAGTCTTCTTAATAATGTTCTACCTCATTTTAACTGAAGTGCTTTTTCTACAGCTAACAACTCATTGTTGGAGGATATAGCACCTGCAATCCCTGATCATTATGAATGGTCAGAGTCGACACTGGGTAACAATTTCTCTGGTAATGGCATGACTGTTGAACATTTTTTATTTTGCTCTCCACGCAAGGCTGGCTCGTCACTGTAAAACAACAGCAACTACAGCGCCATAATCTGATTAAAACTGCATGAGACTGAATGCTCCATTGAGACTCCAGTCACATATCATTTTCAATAAGAACACTTGTATTTTCTTGTCTACTTACCAAAGGCATTGTCCGGGCCTTTGCAAGGTACTTTCAGTTGGAAAGTACATTGTCTCATCATCTGAGCTTATTTTGGCTTGTTTCTTTTGTGAGTTATTAAGCTTTGCATTTCATGTTTTGTGCAAAACGGTTGATTCCTTGTCAATTAAAAACCAAAGTACTGTACCAACAATTATAAAAGCTTTTGAGGCTACTTTTCGAACTTTACAACTATTTCTTTTTGACTGGGTGGTTTTCAATTTTTTGGGCCGATTTGCTTTTTGCTCACATGCAAGTATTAAAAATACAAAAGCTAGTGAACTCTAACCACACCACAAATTAAAGGGTGCCAGTATTTAGAATTCTCTCATACTATATGAAAAGCGCTGCACTGTCCAGAATATTTAGCCTTAAAAAGGGTTCAGTGTTTCAAAAATATTAAGAAAATTGAATTAAGGCTCGGCTAAAGACAATACTTCTGCTGTTAAATTTTATAATTGCAATCTGCTTACTGCTTGGTAAATTCTAGTTTGTTCCAACTTGTAGTGTTCTTCCAATAAAATTATTGGATCAAAAGTGGGTTTCAGTGGAAAGTAATAAATTGAAACTATATTTTTAGTGTACATTTTAATTAAGTTAATTAAGTAGCTTCACATTTTACACACAAAATAGAAAGAGACAGTTTTATTAGAATAGTTTGGTACAAACATCATGTTAAGCCACCGAAATAATCTGCATATACTTTTATTTGTGCATGAAATTTGTTACCTTTCAGTTTGCATTGCTGAATTAAGAATTCAAGATTTTTTCTCATTTACAAATATTTGAGTTTTCACTTCTTTACTTAAGGATGTTTTTATATTAAGGTAATTAAAAAGTCTTCTTTATCCTTTGCACTTTGCTTATTATAACCTAAACACAACAACACATTTTACCCAATAATCTGTTCTCAAGCACCCATCCCTGAGTTTTTCTCAGGTGATGAAACGTAACTATATGAAGAAAATTAATTCATTGAGGTAAAATACATTTTTGTTACACACTTCAGATTGTTGAACTGAAATAAATAACAATGACACAGCAATTAGACTTTAAAGAACTGTTTTTGGAGCTGCAACAATAGGTTGATTGTGATGCATTTGGCATTGCTGTAACAAACCAATTCCTAGCAGGTTTTTAGTTCTTTTTTTACATTGAGGAATGTATTTTTTCACCATAATCCATTCTAATATAAAATGATTTACACAAAGGTTTCTTATTTTTTTTCCTTTAGGAATATTGCTTCCAGCTTCTAGTACTTTGGTCTAATTGGTCTTCAGTGCTATTGGTCTCTAGGAATTGGAGTAGCCTTTATTCATTATTCATCTGGTTATTTTTCTTTGCCTCTGACAGGCACTTTAATGCACAATTTCAAATGTAATCTTTTGTTCTGGGATTTGCAGAAAGGCATGTTTGTTCCTCTCTGAAAGATATTTTATGTGGTGGGTCAAGACTGTATTAAGACTGCCTCACTGCTGGAGGTGAAACAGGAAATTCTAAATGTCTCTTCTGTGCAGTGCTCTGTCAGTGGTGGAAAAAAAGCATTTCTAACCCCTTGCATGATGTGTGTCATTTTTTTAACAGGGACTGCGAGGCAGCATTCCATTAATTGTGCATTTTTGTCCCTTTTCTCCTCTGGATACACTAATAACATTTGATTCTATTTTTAGTGCTGACATGTTTTTCATGGCATACCAATTAATGGACATTACGGTGTCATTGGTTGTTTGTTCTTTATACATAATATTCATAGAAGCTTTTCTGTTTGACACCATAAAGACTTGAATTGTACTGTACTTGTATTGTACACCAGTACTGTAACATAACTCTCACTGTAATTTCCTTTATAGGTTTAAGTTTCCCACATGTGCAAAAGGAAAAGAAAGTTATCCAAGGATTTAAAAAGTATGTCTATTCTCTTATTTTGCCTAATAGGAGATCGGTCTTCAAATCCTGGCAGTGGTAGTCGCCCTGGGAGTTTTGGTAATGGTTCCGTAAAACCTGGCACTGTTCTTAAGCCTCATCAGACAGGTATATAGCTAAAAAGATAAGGATGTCTCTTTTTGTCCTTCATATTGAATGGGGGTATTTCTAGAATCCAGAGCAAATTAAAAGCCACAATTGGCAATAAAAAATGAATTTGCACAACTTTAGATCAATGCACTCAAGTAATTTCTGGGACCAATTCTTCTGTTTAGCAGAGCCATGAGGCCTAGAACAACAAGCCAATAACTGCATCACTACATACTGCACAACTGTAGAAACAATGTGCTCGTATTAACTGCAGGCAACAGAAACATATATATGCCAAAGAAGTTAACATCTGCTTTCTGGTTACTTAACTATGCTTATTGCCACAAGACAAGCAGTTTCAAGTTTTTGGATGTTGAATAGGACAAATAACTGTTGCCTTCATTACCCATATAAACTGTTGGCAGTATATTTTTGTTAATTCCAATAAAGTGTATTATTTTCTCTTTTAGGTGTAACTATGCCATAATGCTTTTCTTTTTTATTCTTCCTTCAAGTTACAGATATTTTGATTTCTTTTTTTCATAAATACAGCTTCCAGTATAATGCTCCTGCTCCAGCTAAAAATAATAGTTAAACATTTATAAAGGATTTGTTTTTAAAGTATTTGCAGTAACAAAGCTTGCTGTAATATGTGAAAGTCTCTTGGTTTCACAGGACAAACCACTAACACTTTAAGTTAATAGGTAGTCTGTAAGTTATTTGTTCTATGTTGTACAAACCCTGTAAAAAGGTTAGGTACTCATTACCTTTAGTCATTAATAATACCCACATTTTTAATTAAGGCCTGCATTACAAATGCAGTGTATTAGTCATTCACTATCACTCAACAAGCAGCATTTCAGTAATAAAGCTTATACTGTAACCTGTAACCCTAAATGTAAGTGCTACTGACAAATATCAATCAATGCAACCCTGAAAGTCTTGCATGAACGAAGGGGGAATATGGGAGTTATTTTGGCTGTTTTATTGTACTGTATATGAATGTGCTCATTTGTTTAAAAGGAAAAATCATAAAATACAGGTCATTCTGGAAAGGGTAATCATTTTTGTTTATTGAGCAAGGAATGACTAAAAACTGCCTCTGTCAAAGTTTTTTTTTACATTGTCTTTCACAGTGATTCCCAGACAGGGATCCCCATCCCAAATCACCACTAACACAGTAGTGGACAAGTCTGGTAAGAAAGGTAGGATAGATATTTCATTTCTAGCTGCAAAAATAGTTCAGCTCATCCTCTGACCTTACAATAAGCTTCGGGAAAGTTGTGTTTAAAATGCCTATAATACAACACAAAAAGGCAAAGAAACTAACTGTAACTCCAAGCTATTTATAAGACATTATCATGACTCGGAAGCTAGAAAAATAAATGTGCATTGTCTTGACCATTGATTGTAATCATTTAAAAAAAAACAAATTTCTTCTTGTGTTAAAGATCCAAGAAAGCCAAATGACAAAATTCTGAAGGTAGTCATACCTTCGGTGACTCCAAAGCCTAACAAACAAGAAAGGAGACAAACAACCACAATAAGTCCTCCCACAATGAATGGTAAGAACTGAATGCACTTAGAGAATTCGGTTAGAGAATCCCAGGGAATGTGGCTTTGGCACTGGCTATTTTCATGTGCTAGGGTGGAAAAATGAGCTCCAAGAGCCACAGTTCAAGGGAAGGTAGGCAGCAATGGTGTGAGACCATCATAACCTGCTCTTAAGGAATTGAAGGATTCTAAGCTATGATACTTGAGTCAGTTTCTCATTTTTCAGTTCTGGTTGCTGTGATGCACATTCCAGTCATTACAACAATGGTTTAATTAGTGTTGCAATTCATTTGAGTCTAAATTGCTTGCCAAAAACAGGAATCCCATTAGAGAATATGATTGAAACATTCTGTATTTTATGGAATGACTCCAACCTCCTTCTTACAGCCTCCAGGTTTGACATTGGCGTCAACTCTTCAGTCTTTAGCTCAGTTCCTTTGTCAGATGTGGATGCAATGGGACAAAAGCGCTTTACAGGTATAGTGTGCAAATCCCACTTAGCCCCACGCAGTCCCTTCTGTATTTATACAGTACTAACCCAGTTTCTCCTTGTTCCTTTCTGCCTTCAGCCCCTCATGTTGTATATAAAGTGGATAAGAAGCCAGATGAGCCTTGTTCTATCACAAACTCCCTCAGCCATTTTCCTGAGGAAGAAGTTAGTGACCAGAATGCCACTGCTGCTCCCAGAAATCCTCCTACAAACCTGACTGTGGTGACTGTGGAGGGCTGCCCTTCCTTCATCATCCTGGACTGGGAAAAGCCCGACAATGACACATCCACAGGTTGGTGGTGGAAGATGCAGCTGGTGCTCAGCTGATTTAAGAGCAGGCAAGCCGTATCAACTTATGCTGGTATTCATTTCCAGAGGGTGGAGTTAGGGTCAGTAAATCAGATTCCCAAAGGGAGGCTACTAGGCCCATCTAGTAGTCTGTTTGGTAATTAAAAACCAATTGATCCAAGGGTCTGATCTATCTCTTTCTTGAATGGTATCAGTTTCAACATACTGATTTGTTTTTTACTCCTACAATCCCTTGATTAAGGGAGTTCCTGTCCATGGCTTTAAACTTCCTATACAGGTCCCACTTGTGTCCTCCTGGTGTGTTTCACAGGTGATTCTAAATGTTGTCCGGCAGTGCTGACTTTGTCAGTGCCTTTGTGGGTCTGGAATACTGGGATAATTCTCCCTCCTAGTTGTCTTTGTTAAAGACAATAAAGGGTCAGGTCTTACATTTGAAGTTTCAATCGCATTCCTGCAGATACTGTACACCCATCTATTGTCTGTAAGCTTTCTTCTTAAAAGTAAACCATATACAGTAGCTGCATGAAAAATGAGCACAAACATCGATTTCAGGGGCCAAAATAGCTTTAGGCAGTCTTCTTGAAATTGCTCTCTCCAGACAAGCATTTAAAACTTCTCTCCTTTTTCAATGCAGAATATCAAGTAACCACAAAACAAATAAATAGCTCTGGAGTTCAAGATGAATCGGTACTGACGACCAACCAGACCCACTCTGCTGTGGAAAATCTGCAACCCAACAGCAGGTACAATACTTGAACAGAAAGAAATAGAGATTAAGAAAAGTGGTCTGTTACAGGACAATTGCTTACTCCATGTGCATGACCAACTGGCAATCATTAAAAAGAAAAAAAAATACTGTTTCGACACATCTTAGTACTTTCAGTCCATTAAATCAGGCAAAGAAGGTACTGTAGCAGCCAATGGCATACAGTACTGTAGGTAACTAAACTCCATACTGTGAAGACCAATGTGTAAAAAGGACTCTGTCCAGATTATGCACAATTATTGAAAAAAAATGTCTGCATGCCTTAGTTTTGTTGGGAAGTGGATAATTTGAACTGCTTAATTTGAACTTAACTATTTGTAGTGACCAACTCTTAGTCAAGCATTTTTTCAGTGCGATACAGTTCTAAACGTTAATATAGTGGTTTTCTATTCCTTTCAGTAAAATGTTTCTTTGAATTATATCTTTAGGAAGAGGCATATCTGTAGGGAGGAGGACAGTTTCAAGCAAGATATCTAACACTTCCACTCAAGTAACCTCAAATGTGTTTTTAATTTTAAATATTACATGGAAGACACCAGTCATATTTTCAGCAATTCCATTAGGACACAAAGCTCTCAATTACTGTAATTTCACAGGGAGTTTCCCCATGATCACAATTTCACACATGACAAGGCTTTTCTTTACAATTAAGAAGGAAGAAAGTTTACTAAGTGACCTCTTTGACAGGCTAAGTGAAACATGAGAAAAGTCAAAGATGAATATTTAATCAACCTACTTGTACTGATGAACCCCAAACCAGAAAATGACAACCAGATTTAAATTCATTGCGTAACTCCTCCTATGTTACTGTACAGTACATATCAAAATGGCTAATTTCACAAATTTTAGGACTTCCAGAATTGCTTTAATTGTTAAATCATCCATTGTCCATGACAATCAGTTTTATATACAGTACCAAGCACCAAACTGTATTTTTGAAAATAACTGGTTTTCAGTCGTTTTAGAACCCACATAATGTAACCCAAGATAATAGATGTTAACAGCAGATAACAATGTGAAACTTTTCTTTATAATGAATCATATTTATCATATCAAATGCTATTTGTCTCATTCCTACTGGTTTGTCATAAACAAAATTCAGTTTCACTTTCAATCTTTCCTAAAAGACTCCCTAGAATTATTTGTATTAACCAAGTACCCCCACAGAATATTCATGTGAAAAATGTTAGCAGACTTGAGCTTAGAGACACACCTGTAAGAGCTGTTTTGTGGTTGAATAAGGGACAATTTGGCAGAATATTACAGACAATATAAACCAGAGCTTCCTATGAACTGAGTCTCCTGGCTCAGGGATGATCATAACATCTGAGCAGCACACATGGTATAGCCATTAAGGCAGCGACCTGGCTTTCATTGCAGGTTCTGTCTGAAGAGTAAAATATCAAGCATCAGTGTTTCAGACACCAAACGCAAACTGACTTTTCAAGGAGGTTTTATCATGTTGAACAAGAATATGTGTTTTCCTGACACTCTGTCAAGAAATGCCTATAAAGGTTCTGTTCCTTCAACCACTCGCCCTCACAGACAGACAGACGAATGCGTCCTCTTCCTGCTTTTAAAACAGTCACCAGACCAATAGGCCTCCTGCAACTGGCCAGGAAAATATTTATGCCGGAAAAATCAGGAAAGTCGGGAAAATAAATAACAAAGGAATATAAAACAGGAAATAAATCAATATCTGAGATAATTAAACAGGTAAACCACATTAAAATTGTTTAGAGGAATATGGGGAATGAGGAACCTACCAGGACTATGATCTCACAATATACACTAACCAAATACAAACACATACACAAATGACCAATGCTTTCTCTCCCTCTATGTATATAAATAGACCTATAACGCATATATATTCTCCTTTACAGTTATGAGTTTACAGTACAAGCCAAAAATGAGTTTGGAACTGGTCCACCTAGTGATCCAGTGACTTTCTCCACTGAATCTGGTAAGATTTTAAACCACTTCAAATTGCATATTATTTATTGAGCTGGGTAAAACGTCACCATACACGCATTTCCAGTTGAACTTAAAGTTTGTGAAATAAATGACCTTGAACTCCTGAACATGTTTAACACTTTATTTACCAAATTCTCGATGGTAGACCAGAAACATCAAGATGTGCTATTTGTATTCAGAGCTCAATCAGTCCTGATTTTGTTGCCATTTTTCACTCAGGTGCAGCAGAGAGCCCAAGTGCTGTATTAAAGTAAAGGGCCACACACTTTCCTTCCCAGCTCTTTTTTTATTAAGAAGACAAACCCCCTGCCGCCAAAGAGGATATTAAATCACCTTCCAGTAGCACTCCATGTTTAAAAAGATTTACGGTCTTTGCATGTTGGTTTTTGACACTTTTGAATTATTCAAATTTTTGTGCTTTAATGACAGTAGTTAAACAGAAATTTACTTCCCTTTCACCCATAAGGGCTCTATGCCAGGACCAAAATTTATTATATTTCCCTCAACACATAACTTTGTTCCCTGTGCACTGCATGCAGACTGTAGACACCAAATTAAATTCCCATGCTGGCTATATTTTACAGATATTTACAAGAACAGATTAGGAGAAGAAAAGCCATGACCAGCATTATTAGCTATCTTCTGAACCCTCAGAGCTCAGAAATCTTCCACCTTGTGATGCAGAAACATGCGTTTTTAAATCCGAAGGAAGAATGGGTGATCCCCCGTATGCTGTGCCAGAGCTAGTAAAAGCTTTCCACTCTTGAAGCATTTACTTCACGTCGAGAAGGATCCCACAATGCTTTGTGTGTAGGAGGGAACTTGCTCTATTTATAGTGTGAGCCGCACTTCAGCAATGGGAAAAATGAGTCAGGTCCTACAAGTAAAGTTCCTGTGGATCGTCCAGGTTGAAAAGTATTATATGAAATGCAAGGGAGTATGAATATTATTATCATGCTCAGTGTTACCTAAAGCCCACATTAGGGGACCAGCCTCATGCTAGGCCATACACACAGTGCAGTTTACCACCAGTGGCTATTAAATTATACCCTCACTTTCTCTCCGAGAGATCTGTATAATTAATTATGTGCTATTAACGTAATGATTTCAGCATGTCGTTCCATTTTCTTAACCCTGGCTAACAGCTAAGGCCAGATGGATTCTGATCTGGAGAGTTTCAGTGCTTTTTTAGCTCGCCTAGCTTTTATATAATAGTTATATACTGTACATATACAGCACTCATTTGAGTGTCAAGTTAATTTTCCCCCAATTTCTTCACCCCTTTTTTGAAGCATCCAATTCCTGCAATGCCAGTTTATTAAAATTAATGTGAGCAAAAGGAGATTGAAAGCAGATGAGTTTCATCCAATTGCATTGTCCAGCCAGCTTCACTTATTCCAATGGCAAACCCAACCGGTGGATGCTGGCAAACCACTGTGTCTTGGGGGACTGAGCTCTGCTTCAGCCCTTTACACCTGGCCTCCCTGAGCCGTTCCAGTTGAGTCTGTGCTTTTCAAAGGGGCTTTAGGAAACACAAACATTTTCGGGAGTATTAATAAGGAGCTCAGACGTGCATGAATTCACCAGCTGTACAACTTGCAAAAAGTACTTGCATCAGTGCTATCCGAAGAAATATTCTGGGCTTAGGGATCTACCGGTTGAATTATTAAATGGTAACGCTGAAAACTGCAAACTAGTAACTGGAGCAAAAAAGTCTGCACTTCATTTCAGATAAACATTTACTCACCTTGAAAGGTTGTTTTTCCCACTGCTTATATAACAAGACCTCTAAGCTCAAGATTGTAATCCCATTAGTTTTTCATTAAGTAGCCTACCTGGAGTGCATGTCAAACATATTAACTTTTCTGTTGCCTGACTGTGGAAAGGTCCCACAGGGGGTGTAGGAAGGTCTCACAGGCCATGTTACAAATTTCTAATGACATGTGTTTTGTTTCCCTTTGTCCCCTTCAGCTGACCCCCGTGTGAGTGAAAATCTATCAGGTAAGAAGCTAGTGCTTCCTACAATCAGGAGTCCCATATGACACATTTTTCTGCAATGAATTAATGGACAATCTAATACGAGAGCCTGGCAAGCAGGCAGTCTGCTGAGGCTCAACACACCGTGAAATGGTCTTTCTTTGCGTATGATTTCACTTCTTCCACACAGAGCTGCTCACCTGATATCTTGCCAGTCCAAATATTTATACAGAAAGAATATGGAATGAAACAAGTAACTTTTTTTACAGGGAAACAATATCAAATAGTACTTGAAAGAAAAAAAAATTAATAGGGGTGGATTAATGTTATTTTTCATGAGAAACTTATTGCCTTTTTATTTTATTTTACATCTAAGGAAAATGTAATCCATCACATACAACTTTGCCAGAAAATGTTCGTTCATGAATCCATCAGGGTAGAAATGTGGGTGGCATAGCAGGCAGTGCTGTGGCCTACAACTGCTGTGTCCTGGGTTTGATTCTACCATTAGTATGTATCGGAGTGGAGGTTGCATGTTTTTCCCATGTCCATGTGATTTGCTCTGGTGGTCTAGTACCATCCTGTCTCCCCCATACATGATATTCGATATTTGAGGTATTTGAAATTGTCCTTTCCTCCACAGCTCTGTTTGGGATCTGTTTAGATCTGGAACACAGAAAATACTGCTTGCTTTCCTCAACTCCATTTACAATCAGAAAGGTTCTAACAGAAATAGGACATGTAACTAGAAAATAATTATTGAATAATTAATAATTATTAAATAAATAAAAAAAAATATTAAATTAAATAAACCACATCCTAGAGTTCAAAGAATAATTCAATACCTGTCTACGCACAAGTGATATTTCACTTCTATTGTTACGATGCTTTTTTGACTTACATGAATAGAAAACACAAGTTTGGGTGTTAAGTAGCATTGTAATGTTGTAGTAGCCTCCTCAAAATTGTGCATCTCAATAAAACACCTTCATGTATTGTTTCATTTGAAGGAACTCAGAGACGTGCCATCTGTATTACTTTGTAGTTATTATTTCAGCAAAAGATTCAAAACTAACTCCATAAATGATTACTCAGTAATATTTGTTTTAACCTGCCCAAACACAAATTCTGAACGCAGACCTAATATGTCATAGAATGGAACTTGTTGGGTCTGATGTGTTTCTGTCTGACCAGGAATTATTTGTTGCACACAGGAAAAGACGCAATATGGACAGAGTTCCCATTCAAGCCTGACACGTACTCCGAGTGCAACGGGAAACAGTATGTGAAAAGAACATGGTACCGAAAGTTTGTTGGTGTCCAGCTCTGCAACTCCTTGAGATATAAAATTTATCTCAGTGACTCCCTCAAAGGTCAGGCTTGCATCATCCCCGTCTGCATGTGCTGTGTAAAAAACAGAACTCCCCCCCCACATTTCGGGACAACGTTGCTCTATCAGGGTCTACACACCATTCTTTGTTGCCTTACTAAACTCTTTGTTAAACACAGAGCTCAGGTTCCTGACATTTTCAGGAAAATGAATTTATACTGAAGACTTACACATTTCTATATTTGTGTACTGTGTAAAAGGGTCTTCTAAATGTAGTCTTTAATGTCCAGCATGGAATGAGGTTAATGTTTTTTTGACTCTTCTGTGAATCTAAATATTGTGAAAGATAGTTATTGGGGGGGGAACCTTGTTTCATTTACTATAGAATCTACCAGACTGATGCATTGCTTTCCTGACAGTACATCTTTTCTCACACCTGTAGGAAAGTTCTTTAACATAGGAGACCAGACAGGACATGGAGAAGATCATTGCCAGTTTGTGGATTCCTTTTTGGATGGGCGGACAGGACATCAACTCACTGGAAACCAGCTGCCACCTAGAGAAGGTGAGTAACTTTTTAAGAGCTTCAGCTATTTCTCATAACGAGATCTTTGGGCAGATTCACATTACGCTTGGCTAAAAGGTTACTTAACGCTACTTTGATAAACTCAATATGCAGTTTGGGTGGTCACTCGCTGATTAAGCCGAATTTCCAAATTTCAGTTTAATCGTTAATAGTTGTCCTTTAACGAACATAAAGATACTATCCTTTTTAAAAAGAAATCTGTATTGTTTTTCTTTTTATGGACAGAACAAGTTTTAACAAAACACTAACTAACACACAAATGCTCAAATCAAACTTTTAACAGTCACTACAATGCAATAAAGGCTACAGTACAAATAAGGAGGTCATTCAGAGTGACTGCTCGGAGGTTATTCATCTAAGGAGCTCATTCTGCCTTCTGCCAGCTTCAGCAGTTGGCTTGCGTTTGAACCACACAATACTTTGCAAAAAGGGTTCTCTGCCTTGTGTTTTACTGCCAAGTGAAGATCATTGATATATAAACTAGGAAGTTCAGTGCTGGTAATACAGATTCCTGTGGTACTTCGCTAACCATCTCCGCCTGATTTGAGCATTTACATCCTATCTGTGCTCTTCATGTAAAACTTATGTTGAAGGGATAGGGACCGAGCCTGGCAAAACTGAAGCAACAACCCGCACTTGCTGTAGATTGAATGTTTTAGCTGCACAAACACTAGGTTAGAGGATGGTGCTGATGTTATATGGTCTGAGCTTGATCATTTTCTCTAGTTTTCTTTCCCTAAAAAGTAAATTACATTTACTTTCTCCCCAGGATATTTTAGAGCTGTCCGCCAGGAACCTGTCAACTTTGGGCAAATAGGAGGAAATTCCCATATTACCTATGTGCCCTGGTATGAGTGTGGGACAACAATACCAGGGAAGTGGTAAAACCATCAGGGGAGTCTGGTGAGAAAATTGAGGGTGGGGGGGCTAATGGAAAAAAAAGTGGAGGCAGGAGAGAGGAGGATGATTACCTAGTATTAATATAGCATCCCCTTACATGTAAACCTCAGCCTTTCTCATGTATAAAATGTGTATAGGACCTACGCAATCAAGAATTTTATTGAGTATATTTGTAATATGTAATAGTAATTATCTCATTATTTATCAAAAAAGGTGACAGAGAAACTCAACTGAAAAAGGGTGTGTCAAAAGAATCATGAAATAAATAAGTAAATAGAATAAAATAATGGGAAGCTGGCTCCCTGAAAGTATTTTGATAACTTGTATATTATTTATCGAAGCATTGTATTAAAATGTTCGTTCTGGTGGTTTATCTGCAGACAAGGGAGTGGACCTAGGCACAGGGCTTCACAGGAAGAGCAGTAATGCGTCTCTTCCTGAAATCGCTGTAGAAATGTCAGTAAGGGATGCAGATTCCGTGAGCCGCATTATGGTTTATATATCGTACAGAGGTATTATAACGTTGAAATAGATTCCTGGAAGAACCGACATAGAGGAATCGTGGTGTGTCATTCTGTTCATTTTCTTGACTTTGGTGCTTTACAAAAAAACACTTTGTCAGCCAAACAGCAATGTTGTCGGGCAGATGCAGAGGTGGAATTTGCATTTGATGTCTCAATTATATCCAAAGCCTTCACACCTATTCAATTCCTTCTTGCGCCAGTCAGTGGCTGTAGTCTGAAGGGGTTTACAATTGCAATTTGCACAATATGTATTTATATGTATATGGAGAATAATAAGCCCTTTTAACATGAACTTGGAATAAATCATTTCCCTTTACGCTTGTGAACCACCAGTCTCTTCATGCATACGTCCTGCTATTTTTCATAATCTCATACATGGATTAACTAAGGGTGTGGTATTTATGCATTCTAAAAAAGAAGGGTTTACTTCATACTATATTTGTAAGCGCAAAAGGAGTTCTTCATCGTCTAGAATCTATATTTGTACAGAAATCAAAGCTCGCAAGCAGCGACAGCGGTTAAGATTTTTTTAATCATTATTTTTTTGTAACATTAAATTGTAATTTTTTTGACATGTATGATCTTTCCAATACATATTTTCATTAATAAAGAAAAGATTTACTTTTTCCTTTTTTAAGATTTTGTCTTGTAATTATTTTTCATTTATTACCACATGCATGGCATACAACCTAGAATATTGGGGAAAAGATTGATACTAAACAACTACTTTTGAATTTGTCAGATTTTTTTAAATTTCAATTTAAGACAGATTCTTTACTATTCAGCATTTTTTTTTACTCTTTCTTCTCAGCCTGTCTAAAAAAATAGCAATAAATGGTTAAATGGTTAGCATCAGGCCATTTAAATGCATAGCTGCAGCAGTCGAACTACCCTGCTACCTTATCTGTTGTGCCAGCATACCACAAATTACTTTTCTGATTTGGCACAATAACAGATTCTGAAAACATCAGGGCTGGAAAGGAACCTTAAGCACCCAAAATACAAAGGAGGAGAGTGTTGGAAAAAACATCAACTCACCATGTGTGTTTGAAATTAAAGACAGCTCGGCTATAGACATTAACCAATACATTAAGATGTTTATATTTTATGCAGCGATTTAATCTCTTCCATAACGTATTGTTTTGTGCAAGCGATTTTCTGCTTTGTTTACACTGCATACAGATCTAAAAATGTAAGGAAGGATGATGCATTTAGGATAATTTATTACTTATTATATGCAATTGTGGGACTTTTTCCCTCTGTGTGCAATTATAAAGCAAATGACTGCTAAAACAGTCAAAAGGATAAAGGACATTTTATAGGAAACTATAGAAGGGAATTCTGCAAGCATAAGACTGAAAAAAGAACTAAGAGAGCCAAATACATACTGTATGTACATCTCTTCCGGTAGAATCTTCCACACCAGTGAGGGCATAGCCAGATAAAAATACAGTGCCTTGCAAAAGCATTGACACCATTCCTAATGGGTGCCTTTTTTGTGAAACGACAAAATGCTGCATATTAATTTGATAAAAATGTGTTATTTCAACACACGGATTCTCGAACTTTATGGGCTTACGTTAACATACAGTAGATACCAAAGAGAAGAAAACGGTCGATTGCACGTCTTCAGACCTATGAATTCAATATTGGGGGTAAGCACCATTGGCAGCAACTGCTGCAGCTGGCCAGTTGGGGCAGGACACACTGACTCAAGGCAAAGTTTGCCCATTCCTCTTGGCAGATTAGCTCATGACCTCATGCCTTCCCACAGTGTCTCAATAGGATTCTACTCAGGACTTTAGGTGACTCTTGGTTATTCACTTTCTTATTCTTACAAGGGAACTGCAACACTATTTTCGTATTTCAGGGTTATAAAGAATCAGCATTGATGAGTGCATTTCAAACCGCAGTGAAAGTAAAATGTACAGTGACTTGTATCACCTCCACTTCACACCACAAAATCGAAATTTCCAGGTATGCTATATTCTGCGATGCAGAGCGAGGCAAGACATTTCCGGTGACGTGTTGCGGCCATTTTACATTGTAAACAAGCAAGCTTGTGAATACATCTCTTTCAATCCAATAGAATTTCGATTTCGAGGTGGTTTGGTCATCAAATACTTGTTAAATGCAGATCATGTTGGAACATTTCTGTTACTAGTGAGTAGGAAGGGCACTTTCACAAAGTTCACAATTTTGTACGCGATTTGAAATTCGTCATTTTTTTCTGTAACGTCAATGAATTTATTTTGTTACCCAGATGTAATAACCAGTCTGAAAAAACTGGGAAGGTAGTTCCACTTTATGTTTGCCACTAGTCCTATATGTTTGTGTGTCCTATGACACTGCCGAGATCTTACTTCACTCACATTCTGGTTTATACAAATTGCTTTTTCGGTGTTAAAGACAAGAAGTACCAAGTAGTGCCCGAGTCTGAAATTCTGAATTCAGTGATCCCTTTGTGTCTGAAAAACGCATTTTTCATTACGTCAGCCAAGGAAAGAACAGAATTATAATTCATACCTGCTGATCGCAAGTAAAAAGTGAAGTCAGACTACTGACCAGCAAGTCAAATAAATAAAGCCTTGTGTCTTTTTCCTTTCATGTCAGCTGTAACCCCAAACTTAGCAGAAATACGAGTTACAACACTTTTCCAGTCCTAGACAGAAGGGTTAAACAAGTCAAATTCAACATGGCTTTCTTCACAAGCACAGGACAGGGCGAAGAAAAAAACGACAAGGTGGATCTGGATATCTTTATTAGCTTTCTAAGAGAATGTTACAGTTTGTACAGAACATCTAAGGACACACTCATGTGGAATCTTCAATCAGATATTAGTAAAAACCAGCTGGAGAAAAAAACAACAAACACAGGTAATCTAAACTTAAAGCTAACAATGTAATATCCTTCAGAAGGTTCAATCTACTTCTTCCATTAATGATATATACTTAGTGTTTCCCGAAAAGATTGATTTAACTTTACTTACGTATAATACCAATGTACTGGATAGTGGCAAAAGGAAAAAAAAATCAACATAATTCACCCAGGTCTCCCACCCTTGCCAACATTCGCTATTTCTTTTTTTATTTAAATGCAACTGTGAAAAAAGGTGCCCACTTTTTATGCGTCAACCATATACAATAAAAAAAAAAAGAGAGAGAGAGAGGGAAAAAAACAAAACTTTGCGTTTTGGATTGCGCGAGTACGGGGGGACGGGACGTTTCCTAGTTCTTGGCCAGGGCTGCGGGGCGCCGTCAGAGCTCCCCTCTGAGCTCTTGCAGTCGGTGGAGAACCCCGCCGGGCCTTATCGGTACCCGGGGCCCGGCTGGGTGTAGCCCTGGCCATAGGGTGGGCGGTTGCGGGCGTAAGGGTTGGAGCCACTAGGCGGGGGGGTCACTGTGCTGCCCGGAGGCGGGGTGAAGCCCGGACGGGGCTGAAAGCCGGCCCCGGGCTGGGCAGGGGCCATACCTGGCTGGGAGGCAGGGGGCATGTTATAGTTAGCTGGCTGGGACGCTTGGGTGGCATAGTTTTGGGGAGGGAAGGTACCAGGTGGGTACTGCTGGGCAGTCTGGGGCTGCTGCTGCTGCTGCCCCGTGAACCCGGGCGCGGGGGCAGCTCCCTGGGACGTTGGTGGGTTATAACTTTGGAACTGCTGCGGTTGCTGAGGTGTCGGCTGGGGGCCCGCCTGGGGATTGTAACCTGCTGGAGAACCAGAGAAGGACTCGCTCAGAAACATGCCTTTTCTTCCGCGGGGAGGTCAGGGTTTTTTAGACTGCACAACACTTACATAATCCCGTAACCAAAACCAGGTTAGGAAGTGGCTGCGTTTTGACTGTGGCCTTCTCATAAACAACCTAAACCCCATATCCCTGCCCCCTTCATAAATTATAAGCAGCTGTTCCGACGTACACAATTTGTTTAGGAAAAAAAAAAACCACTAGAAATGCTCTCCAGATTTTGAATGCCAATGTTTAACTCAATGTATGCTGCAAAGTTATGCATTGTTAATAACAATATGCAACAAACCATTAAATATTATCCAAACATATTAGCACAGCAGAGCCTAAGCATGTATAAAGAATAATGTCTAATTTCTACTAGCAAAGAGGTCAGTAAGGCCTAATTGTGACTAATGTACATACAGTATAAAAGGTTCAGTGGTTCTCATGAAAACCGATGGACAAAGTCTCGAATCAAAGTTTAAAATGAGAAGGATGAAAGACTGTCGTACGAACCTGGGTACTGCACTCCGTACTGCTGCTGAGGGGCTGCAGGCTGAGGAGGTGCATAGCCACCCTGGGCTTGGTACTGCTGGTACATCTGGCCTGCTCAAAGAAAGAACATCACAGTAAACTCAGGGTCTATCGACTTAACTTCTCCCCCTCCTGCAAAACACAGACCTTGCACATCCAGGGGATTGTGATGGTGCCGCTTTAACTTCACAGTCACAGTGAAGGTACAGAATTAAGTTTCTGTCCTCTTGATGAAAGCGGAACATAGGCTTGCCAGAAAGAAATCACAAATCGCAAAGCAACACTTCCGTATGAATACAGAGCCTTGCTTTTAAAATTGATTGTTTATATATAATCTTACTGTCAGCTTCTTTATACTTCCTTTAAAAGTTTTCCCATGAGCACAAAGCTGGCACTTGAAAGAGGAGTACTGTCAGCAGCTAAGACAGCATCACCGCCAGCATGTTTCTCCATTTTTACTTACAGCAAGATGAGCTAGCTCAGAACAGAGCCCATGGTGAGCAGATGACTAGGCTCACTAATAGCCATGGTTCTGGCCACAACAAAATTGAGCAAACCTCACTAGAACAAAACAGGGCTGTGACGCATATCTTGTGCAAGCCTTCTTAAACCCTGTTTGATGTATCATTGAAACTGTTTCACCTTTAGGGATAGGGATAAAGACACGTGTTTTAAGGCAATTCCTAGCCTAATGTGAGGACCTGACTCAAACAACCTGAAAAAAAATGAATAAACACTGTAAAAGGAACCAGAGGATACAAGTGGAAACCATGAACCAGTCCTTTAGAACTTGAATAGGAAGCACTTCCTCCCCCAGAGGCTTGTGGGAGACTGAAACCAGCCACCCAGCTATGATGCTGAAGCCGATATTCTGGCTTCTTTCAAGATCCATGAGTTATGAACCTGTAAAGCAAGCTAGATGGGCCAAGTGACCTCTCGTTTGTAACTGTTTATCCATTCTAAGAGAACGAAGACCAACTGTGCTGTGATTTGAGAAAATCAAAAGCAGTTGCTGCAATACCCAATAAAAAAAAAAATATATATCGTATGGCCGAAATCACGGTACAAGTCAGATGCGAAATCAGTGTCCCTGCAATCTCATCATTGGGGTTCGGGTTAGCTCTACAGCATCGTTAGCTGCATTTGCTGTTTTTGACAGGTGTTTGCAACAAATTTTAGGCCCTACTAACACCAAGCCATTAATAACAGGTGTGTTTCAAGTGCTATAAAAGTTCTGTGTTATTTTGCGTTTTATTTATATATAAATTATTTTTTTTTCCACAGGCAAATGGCAATGATCCAAGAAAGGGCCCAGGGTAAGATTAGTGTTGCAGAGGTTTGGCATGAGAATCCAGGCCAGGCAGCTGTGAGGTTTAAACACTTCAAGAAAAAAAAAGCATCAATTCAGGGGCCGGCAACCAACAGCATGAGCACCATTATTGGCACGCAAAGGGATTTTTAACGGCACGTGCAATAAAAGTCTAGGAAGCCACAAAGAAAGTAAGTTAAAAAATGTTAATAACTATACTTGGATGTTCTGTAAATCTCTGCAACAAAGCTCCTTGGAGAAGAAAAAAAAAACTATTCACTTGCTTTATTTACTGCATTCTTTTAAGCGGGTCTAAACTCTTGTCGTCACAGGAAAGCTCACGATCCGTGTCGCCGATGAAGTGTAAAGTTCAGCATAGTAAAGCTGTGGAAGGGACAGATAGTCCACGAAGTGCAATCAACATCGTTTTGTAAGAAAGGTCAAAACCACACCACACTGCACAGTGAAAAACGGGTTGCATTTTGTCAGATATCAGGACTTCCAACTTTTGGGCCTGATGTTTTCTTTTCAGCTTAAACCAGCTTCAGTACCAGAGATGTGGATTTTTCAGTGTTTCAGTGGATGCGTGTTGAGGATTTTGAAATGCACAGCAATTTTAGTAAAATATTGGAACTTTAATAGCGTCTTACGAAAATCGCCTTAAGATATCAAATTTGTCCTCTTGATACACCTGGATTGGTCTTAAGCAGATTTTGGCTGTATTAAAAAATACTTTATTATTAAAGTACAAATGTTATGATGTCCATTCTGAAATGACAAATTAAGTTTAAGTGTAAATTGGGGTGTATGTCTGGTATGCATATGAAAAATGATACAGGATCCTCTCTCTATACATTATAAGAATTACACATTTACAATAGATGGGATTTAATAATAAAGTAATTTGCCTCTAACGTTGACTGCTTTTTTAACCACAGACTCCAAGAAACACGTACTTCTAATTTGAACCTAAATGTAAAAATAAACACTGGAAAATTCAAATACTAACATTACCTTCACATACCCAAATACAAAATATGGAAAATAAAGCTTCATAATACAAAGCACATTTCAAGTTATGATGTAAGCAGAAACCTCTCTCAAGACAATAAAACAAAACAAGCCTGACATGGATATTAAAGTACTGTCTACACCTTCCCAATTACCTCATTTGGTGACTCACAAAACATGTATAACATTTTACTGGATAAAATACTTATTTTGAGAAATGTATCTTGATTGTTTATGGTGTAAATATTTTACCTCAACAAGAATTGAATTCTTTTTTCTTAGGAATTCTATATGAATTCCTGTGTAAAACATTCTAGATCAGTCAAAACAAGACTTTTTTTTATTAATTCAGCAATTTTATTTTCCTGTTTGAATGCTTGTAACGAAGGCAAGTGCAGAGCTGCAAAAACTAACTGCACCATAAAACTGCAAACACCTATCGTGAAGAAGTTACTTGTTGGAAAGATGTAGGTGTTTTATAAAGATACATCATTTAAACATTTTCCAAGTACTTTTCCGTAATTCCAAATGCTCACTTCTGGAAAAAAATGGCTTTAACAAAAAGAAATTCAGCATTTCACAATGGCCTAGTCAAAGCCCAGACTGAAACCCCATCAAAATGTCCTTGTGGTGAGCTGTAAATTCAGCCCTTAAAGGTCAGAACTGGAGGAGTTCTGTAAGGAGGAACAGTCCAACATTACCCAAAAAATGATACAACAGGCTGACCAATGGTTTTAGGAAATGTGTAGCTGCAGTCACTACTGCTCAAGGAGGTGCCAGTGAATTACTGAATTTCAAGGTTCACCTACTCTTGTCACACATGGATACTAAATGCTGCATCACTGAAGGATATATACATGCTAAAAGTGCACCATGTTTTTTTGTCATTTACAGTATTTCATCATATTATCAGGACTTAAATCCAACACCATTTTAGGCTTCAGATATGTGAAATACGTGACAATCCTAAAGGGGTTCTTTTTCTCGGTACTGTAAGCACTTCTGCTTACAGTGCAGGGTATCACTTTTTGAGACATACTGTAAACAAATCTCCTCACAAAGGCCTTCTTATTTCTGTTCACTTATCCCAGCCAGCACGGCCATTGTGGTCTGTTAACTTGGTGATATAAAACAGGGTGACTGATCTCCCTGCTTCTCAGTCGGTCTGCTTCATCTCCAGGACCAGCAGGTACAGCTCTCTCCCTCCCTCTAGTCATCCATCCATGCTTTTTTTTTTGCTTTGCATCTGGGAAACCCTTATACAGAAACCTACCCAGAGACTACCACGGAATTTCCTCTTGACCGCAACTCATCTGTCAACAGAGCGCATAAGAGAAAGACGACCAGGGGGGAAAAAAAGAGAAAATTCCTGTTGCAGTCTGGGGGAAAAAAAAAAACTTTAATGTACTCAGGATGGAGGCCTAAGTTATAATGAAACACAGGAGGGAGAAAAAGACTCATGTTTTTTTCTTTTTTTTTTAATACACAACACAGTTTTCAAGACCAACACACAAAGCTCTGTTCAGAACAAATACAATACAAAACAAAAAATCTTGTGCATAGTCCCCGTGCCAGAGCCATATTTTTCTTGTCTTTAAATGTTCATGTACTGTACAAAACTAGGCTATGGTTGACAAGAGCTCTTTGGTATGAGAACAGGCGATTCCTGGACAATATTTTGATTTATTTAATAGTCACATCTGCCTAAAAATGAACTTGTCTTCTCTTAGCCACCTTTTCAGGTTATTGACAGTGTGCGCACAATCATTTTTGTTCTTGACTCAACTTATAATATTACTATTTTCATATAATATTGGCCACAATGCAATGTCTCCTAAAGCTTAGCATTTTTATTCCAAAACCCAAGGTGGCACAAAAGTAATGTACAGCCCACAAGGCCTCTACTTGATTATACAGGCAAATGCAGCCAGTTATTGAGTGAGCAGATGTCCTATAAAATCCACACAAAAAAAAAAAACTTTTCTAAACTAACAAGCGATGGAGTGAAACAAACTACAAATCTGATTGTGTATTTACTCTGAAGACAGGATGTCAGCTGTTTTATCAGGATGCCAAATTACTTGCCGAGTTTCTTTTAGTGTGCGCATTACCTGGTATAATAGTTAATGGTGATAATTTGCTCACAATATTCCTGTCTAAACCACAGCCCGTCATGTTTAATTTCCAACTTTTCATACTCTATAATGTGCAATTTACTAATGTGGCATGCCCACAGAAGACCTAATTGTCTTGCCATGTGTGTTGTACACTACCTGGGGGGAATTAGGATTCCATGAATCAGTGATTCTCTAGGAAAGATGCACCAACAAGTAACCCCATTGTCTGTCCAATGACAGACTGGTGTAGAACATTTAATTTACAATTACAAGACAAAGACATTATGCAGTGTACTAATGACGACTGCTGCTGGAGAGAGCTCGGACATTAACATTACGTGGCATTAACATAAGTTAGTCAGTGGTACTAACCCGACGCATGGACAACAAATGTCTGAAACTGATGGATTGTTGTAGAAACTGGAAGAAGTAAAATGTGTCATGGAAAAGTTGTTATGGATGAAATTTGGACATCTTTTTCCACACTGTTTTCCAAGCAAAGGTAAAAACTATTGCTCTCAAAGCAAGGTAGCAATAAATTGAAAAAATTGCAATTTTCTTTGAGATACCAAATAAAAATAAACAGCTTTTCTTCCGTGACATACCACAGTAAACAAATGTACACAGATAACGTA